AATTACCGGTCACCCCAACCTCATCCCCCAGTACTACGGAACCTGGGCCATCAGGTTTAGGATGGGCAGGGACAAGCACAGGGAGGCCGGCCTGGTTCTGATGGAGTACATTGAGGGCCACGCCATCGAAGAGCTTTGCGATAGGGACGAAGACGACGGCTATCTTCTCCCGGTCACCGAAGAGGTCATCTTCCACGACTTCGCCGGCTTGGCAGGCACGATCCAGGCCAGGAAGGTAAAGTTGACCGAGTCTTTCCGGCTGAAGGCCTTTCGCGAGATACTCCATCAACTCGTGGTCCACATGCACATCAGCGTGGAACACGCCGACTTCATCCCGGCAAACGTCATCATCACCCTTCGCAACCACGGGGGAGTCACCGGTGTACGCGAGCTAGATGAACCGCGGCCCGTCTTGCTCGATCTCACCCTCACAAAGGTATGGCGCAAGACAAAGTATGCGAAAGGCCCCGGCAGGGAGCGGCACTGTCTCGAGTGGCTTCCCAACCCCCCTCACCCAATGGAACGAGCGTCTCCCCAGGGTATGGAGCTATACATTGGCTGGTTCGACGCCGAGTGGTCGAAAGAGCGGTTCGAGGAATGGTTGGTGCAAGAGTTTGGCCCTCTGGAGGAAGGCTCGGAGGAAGGCTCGACTGGGAAGTACTCTACGTTTGCCACGCTGGATAAGATAGAGGCCGATTATGACAAGAAGAGAGATGAAGAGGCGAAGGAGAAGATGAGAGCTCAGCAGAACGAGGCAACCAGGCTCCTGGCTTCTGCGGGTCGCAAGGCTAACGAGCGCGCCGACAAGCTGGAAATCCTCCCGACCGAGGACAGCCCGGCATCGTCGATGACATTGAGCTCCAGGCCCTCTCCGCGGGCCAACTGGGGCGCGCAATACTCACAAAGCCGAGCAAACCCTCCCTCCACCAGCCGTCGACAGCAGAACCGATCCGACGAGTCCACTTCGACGGAGAGTGGCGAGGAAGGCATCCCACGCACCTTGTGGCGGAAGCTCCAGGAAGCGAAACTCGCACCCAGCGAGAGCAGTTCTGGCAGCTCGCCCTCCCCTCGGTCGTCGCCCCGCTCGGCGCCCCGCTCGGCGCCCCGCTCGGCGCAGAAGCCGGTGGAGAACGAGGAGGAGATGGATACCATTGAGGAGGAGGAATAGGAAAGTTACGCCAGTACCTTGGGTTGGGAATAGAGGACTTAGGTTGTGTTGGATAAGATTAGATTGGGTGGCCATGTTCATGTTGTCTCCAGATTGACCAAATTATTGAGACGTGGGTTTCGTTGCCTTGCGATTTTGAGAGGTAGACCAAAAAAAACGAAGGTTCTATCCTATCACCAGTGCATCCTCCGGGGCTTCATTGATGTACCGAGTCACATGTTCACGCTCACGCCTGGCTTGGTCAATAACTCTCCGCTGCGTCCATAATGTTGGCATGGAGATGCTAACGCAAAGGGGGTCATGATATCACTCAATGGCCAGCCAGGCCGAAAGCGCCCGCCCGTTGCACAATTTTCCTCTGGCTTGTGTTCGATCTGTGGCGCCGTTGTACGAGCCGCCACGGCGCCGTCTGGAGCTTGATCATTTCCCATGCGGCGGTATGTGTGCGTTATGTAGGGAGGCGCAGGTACCCGTCGACTAGCAGAAAGCGCGGCGAAAGCCAAAGCAATAGACCTCGCACCGGCGGGGCGCTAGCCCACCGAGCTGGGAGGGCGTTGTGAACGTGGTGGACGATAGGATAACACAGGACGGTCGTCAACACCGCGTGGCAGTTGGGCATGCGGAAGCGGGAGACATGGAGCGCTCCGGGCTGAGCGGCGTACCGGCACGGAGGAAATGAGACCCAGTTGAATGAGACCACTTTGGGCCAAATATCGAACTCTCGCGCACGCACAGTGGCAGCCAAGTAAGCCGCGGCCGAGACCTGTCAATGTCTGGAGGGAGCATCCCTTCTGCAAGGAACCGAGGAGCGCAGTCTCACCTTTTACGAGCGAGGAAAATTTTTGAGGTTGCCGCCGGGCCGCTGGATCCGGGGCACTGCACGGATGGCCTTCTCCTCTCCATGTATTTGACTTTGAATGAAGTTTATGCTGCAGGTCGTAGTGGCGCCTCCGCAAAGACTGACGCGGATAGGGTAGGGTTCTTGGTTGCAAACCTCACATCTCGATGTGGTAGCCTGGCAAGATTGGGGAGGCGGCGGCTGTGGACAGGGGACCCCCTCGTGGAATGCGCGGCTGGAAATGAGCGATGGTGGATGGCAGCCGCCGTGAGTCCCAGCTTCCCGGCTGAGGTTGGTGGTGCCTCGTAGATCCGGTCAGGTCCAGGTTCTCGCCGTGGATGTCCAACGCGTTTGATGGCAGAGGCGTACTGGATAGCAGAGGTGGCAGGAACTCTCCCTTGAGACGAACTGTTTGTGGTGTTGTGTACTACTTGTATGCTCTTTTCCCGGGCGACGTTGGTGAAGAGAGGTGCGGTCGGGTGCATGGAAGCGACGGCCTCTATCGGTCGAGTATTGAGACGGATTCAGTCTAGACGCAGTCCAAATTCCTTCTCCGGGCCACGTAGGGCAGCGGGTGACGACGACTCAGGCAATAGAGGCTGATCGAATCGGGAAATGGTGTCGAAAATGTTTAATGGGATCAATGGGAAAAGGGCGCACGGAAGTTGGATAGGGGAAGCCGAAGCATGGATGCAAAGTGAAGATGGAAAGAAGACAGCAGAATGGCGAACAGACGGCATTCCGGCCTGGCACCATGGATAGCCCGGCCACGAGTCGCTATTTTTACCGGGAAGGACGGACGAGCACATTCTGACAGCCGGGAAGACGACTGGACACAGACAGCGTCGTGTCCCGCCGTTTGCCGTGGCGGGCAACCTATGGTCAGGGCAAGAGCGACTCTCAACTGGATGAACTGCACGAGGAAGGAAGATTGGGCCAATGTGTTCGTCTGGTTCTTGCCATTGCAGCAACTTTTCTGGTGTTTTTCGTTTTGTGGGGGTGGGCAAAGCACTGGGAACCAATCTGCAGAGTCCACCTTGGCCCCTTTTCCAGAAGCGACATCGTACATGATTGGCCCTTTGCATCTGCCCATACAGGACAGGTCAATTAATTGCACCTGCCAACATTTCACAAAATCCCTCTCCTTGGCGATGCACACGAGATGGATGTGCATGCACGTTCATCTGGATAATGCCAGGCGGTGGGCCCTCGTTTGCATTCCGTCATTCGCCCGTCCCGCCGCGAGGGGTATGTTGCTCTCTTTCTGGGGTCCTCTCTGGAGTGTTGCCGGTACAAGAGCGTCTGTGACGAGCGACGACAGACTGGAAATAGAAACGCAAATGCTTGTCGAAAGAGTTGTGCCAGGTGAGAGAGAAGATCAACCATGTGGGCTCTCACCTGAAGACAGACGAACGTATGGCCCCCACAACTCCAGGCGCAGCACCGCGAGCCGGACATTGGAACGCAATGCGCACGCCGCACACCGCACGCCGCACACGCACCAAGCCAGACGAGGGACCTCAAAAGTCGGGACCCCAAGAGACACACATAACAAGTTAACACTTGCAGGGGAGGGGATTCCCAATAGGGACACTGAGGTGGTCATCTCCCGCCTGCCTTGGCTCAAAGTGCGGACACACACGCACTTAGTGAACCAGAACCACAGATCCGGCCTCGCATCAGAGACAATAATCCAGTCTGACGTGCTGCCCGTTCCAAGCCGGTGCCAATCGATGGCCGCAGCTGCTCATCCCTCGTTGCTACCCTGCCATGCCCGCCGTTCTAGACCACTCGCTGGCATGTTCAGTCAGCCGCCCGTTCAAACGCTTACCCTTACTGCCAGTGGTCACCACGGTGTGTGTAAATACGCAGTGTGGGAGGAAACCTCGTTCACATCAAAACGACCTCGTTCCGTCTTATCCATTGAGGCATCCCGTACATAATCGCTGCAACGCTACCAGAGAAACGTACGGATAGTTCACGACAGAGTACAGTCTATACCTGGGCCGATGCGACACAAGACACCCTCCCGGGGCAGTCCGGTTGGTCGACGCTTGAGATTGCGAGATGATAAGGTTGTTTTCCCTTTGTTCATGCTATCTCCCTACCTGCCTATATGCGATGAACTATCAGACTTGTGTTTATTCAAGCTCGCTCCAATGCTCCGTATCCGTACGCCTGTGTGGACACGGCGGATACTTTCGAGGTATCCCGGACTCCCGCCCGGCACATGAAATTGAAGAGTTGCTTTTCTTAGCGGATCCCAAAGCCGACGTTGCGATGTCAACCCGCAAAGTTCAAGGAAGCGAAACCTGTCAGTCCAGTGGCCCAGGACTCAAGCTTCCAAGAATTGATGAGGTACTTACTGCGTGCAACCCTAGCGACCCGCGCTCTCGTGAGCACCCGACCTCAGCAGACAAGCGGGGTGCAGGCGCAGATGCAGGTCTGTTGTGGTTGGCAGTTGCTGTTGTGGTTGCGGGACGGATAAAGTGCAAAGGCAGGTGCAGAGGATCGAAAGTGCAGGCAGGCACAGGTGCAAGTGCGCGCCTTCTGGGTGGTGGTGACCCAGGTGACGGTTCCATTGGACTGGCCAGGAGGGCGGCAGGCGCAAATATTGGCTCTTGCTGGCTGAGTGGCTTGACGCCAAATCTCCTCCTTGGACCTTCCCCTTCCCGGCCGGAGTTACCCCTGCCTCCTTCCCCTGTCCCTGCCAAGGGTGGCCGGTTCCTTCTTTGAAGTTCTGCTGGGCTGTGGACCCACGGCCCATGGGGCCACGCCGCCGTCCACGAACCAGTCCAAGTGCCCCCTCACCAAGTTCTCAGGGCAGAACCAGGTCTCCGTCTCCCTCGGCGGAGCCAACATGCACCTCGTCCTCCAGGCTCAACCGTCGCCCATGACTCCATCCTGTCGCTGCTGCGAGAATACGACCCAGCCCGACCTGGACCCCCCCAGCTGCCGTCCATGCATCGCACACGCTCCACTGAAGAAGCCCGTTCACAATCCACCTGAACCCGAACAGGAGCTGCCCGTGAATACTGCAGTAGGCTGTCTTTTGTTTTGCTGCCATACAAATCCAAAGTACTTCCTCCCTACGCTACCTACACTACCTAGGATAGGTACCCAAGATTTTTACGCGACTACGTTTTGGGCCCCCAAAGCCGCAAGTTCAAGCCCACTTCACTTGCACCGTCGCCATCCAACTTCCCCTGGACCCCTGCCACCCTGTCCGGCCGACCAAGTGTGCGCGCCTCCCACCACGCGAGCGAGCCAAGCCAAGCCAATATTGCTGCCAGCTTCCCCCCAAAATCGACCATCCATCCCGTCCCATCTTCGCCCGCGCTCGTCCACTCGTTGCTCCTTCTTAACCTCGTCCTCCCCCCCAGCCAGAGCCAGGGATCGTCGCCGCCTTCCAAGAGCCTCACCTTGCCTCGTCTTGCCCCTTCGCCAGACCAGATCCGACAGAGCTGATCGTCTCGACGACTCGACCACGGCGGGCAACTTCTAAACCTACTGGCGACCGACAGAAACTGCAAGCTTGGAAGCAACTGGACCTCGTTCGACTCGACCTCGACCGCCCCGAATTACCCCAATTGTGGACGCGACCAATCTCTCAAAGTCTTCTCGTCGACTGCAGCATCGTCGACTCGTCAACTTTTCGGCCATTTGGACCGATTCCATTCGTTTAACCGCCCATCCTCACCGTCACCTTCATTGGTAGTCGAATCTGCAGCACCACAGCCCCGACCGCAAAAGTGTTCCACCCGTGCAGCCAGTGGAGTGGTGATCTTGTTTTTCCTTGGTGCTATATAATATATCCACCATCGCGTGCGTGATCTGGTCGATCACCGGCTAGAGACATTCAGCGCCGATCCAACGTGGGGTTCTCTCGGCAAACACCAGCAATAATTGCCTTTTCCTACCCCATCAAAACTCCGTCGTCGAGGACCGTTCTTCTCGACTCGCCAGAACCGCTGCAAGAGGAACTAGATCATGTTTGGTCTTGCCAACCTGCGTGTCGCAGTATTCCCATGATGGCCATCACGTCGTTGTCATCCATGACCCGGCCACGGTCACTATGGCTTCTCCTGTGCCTCACCATTGCCTCGGTGGTGTTGGCCGGCTCCGAACCCGTGCTCGAGGTTCTTCCCGCTCAGATCACTGCCCCCGCAGTGCTTCCTCCCATGGACGCCCTCGTCATTGACGACCGCACGCCTACGATGATCAAGGGTCGGTGGACCATGGTTCCGCCCGGGTACGACGAACTGAAGAAGCGGGACGACGAGGGCATCACGTTGACGCCCAGCACAGCCGACAAGGCGTCAGCTACTGCCGCATCGACTACGCTGACCGTTTCCGTCACGGTGCCTGCTGCGACTGTGGACTCTGCCTCGCCCCTGCCGTCGCCTTTCGACACCAGTCTCGCCTTCAACTTTACCAGCAACGATGGCGCGTCCTGTCCTCGCTTCATCAACTCGCTCCTTACCAACCAGAACTTTAAAAAGTGCTACCCGTTGTCATTGCTGCTCCAGGTATGTTTGTTGTTGTCCGTCGGTGATGTACAAGAGCTGACTCTAGTTCAGGGCTCGAGATCCTTCTTTGAGGCTGAAAAGAAGCTTCTGAGTATTGTGAGGGTGCTCGACGCCACCTGCGGCGCTGACGTCGAGTACTGTACAGAGTTCCTTACCGGTGTGGCCGGTAACCTAACGTTGGACGCCAACTGTGGCTCCGACTACCAGGCCGGTAACCCAATCGTCATGCAGGCCTATCTCGGCTTGAAATCGTACGAGATGCTGTACAAGGCTACCTGCCTTACCGACCCCGACACGTCCATGTACTGCTTCGCCAATGCCGTCACCAACCTCACCACGCCGTCCAACGTCTACTTTTACTACCTCCCACTCAACATGACTCTGCCCGCCAGTGCAAACCCCACCTGCGGCACGTGTCTCCGACAGACCATGGAGATTTACCAGACCTTCACCACCAACCGCAAACTCGCGATCTCGTCAACCTACGAGGACGCCGCGTCGCAGGTCAATACCATATGTGGACCAGAGTATGTCAACGACACGCTTCTGGCCGCAGTCAGCACGGCAGGACTGTCGGTGCCCTCCTGGGCTCTGGCGGCGACGACCATGACCCTGGCTCTGCTTTACAACATGTTGTAAGGCGGGAGACTGCACTGATCGTAACGAGTCATGTTTTGAGTTATTTGATTTTCAGCAAGCGCCATGATACCCTCGACATTCTCTCGTATTTATTTCTACTTCTAATGCCGCACCCGGCATCCGACCTCATCGGTCTTCACATTACACTTAGTATTTAGTCTTAGTTCTATTCACGGCCGGAATTTGGGCAAAAGAAAAAAAGAGCCGGGTCCCAAGGGACGGCATCGGATGGCGGTTTCGTGATTATTGGCAGCAGCCGGAATTTGGGCATGGCGCATCCGCTGACTTGGCGGCATACATTGTCATATACGATGGCAACCACTGGCATCTGACGAGGTGCTCTATATACTGTAATCTTCGCATGGTGCGACTGTTGATACTCTTCTCGTAGATACTTTTTAGTGGTGGTTTCACGTTGGTGCAGAGATGGATACGACGACCTGTCATGGTCACGACAATACAATATGTAGTCAACACTCGACTCATCTGCTCAGTGATACCGTACGAGACCACACACAGATCGGAAGCCATTTATAGTTTCTCCTGCCTGTGAACCCTTTCCTCCTGCTCCCTCAGCCTCTTCTGGACAACCTTCCACGGGTGAACCCCATCCGCGTACCCGACAAACGGGGCCCCGGGCTCGTACCCGAGCAAGTCCACCAGCCGCCTCGGCATCCCGGCCAGCTTGTCCCACTCGACGGCGAGAATCTGGTTCTCGAGGGGCCGCATCCAGGGCTGGCAGTACTGGATCGTCAGCGCCCTCCGGGGGTCGGGCGAGGTGTTTTCCCCGCCGCCGTGCCAGAGGGTGCCGAGGAAGAAGACGGCGCTGCCCTTGTCCATGACGACGGGGATGGCGTCTTTGCGCTGGGGGAGTTGGGCGGCGTCGGTGTCGGGGCCCCAGGTGTGGGAGCCTGGGATGACGACGGTCGCGCCGTTTGCGGGGGTGAAGTCGTCGAGGGCGACCATTACGCCCTGTTGGGGATGTGTCAGTCATGGAGGTGGTGGCAGTGAGAACAGGAGAGAGGAGGAAGAGGGAGAGGCATTACCGTCCCAAAGGGCCGATGGGGCCTCGGCACCCCAACGTAGCCGTCGTCGTGGTGCAGCGCCTGCGGGGCCTCGCCGGGCTGGATGTAGACGCTGTGGAAGGCGTTGAGGAGGAAGCCCGGGTCGAGGAAGTGGTCGTTGAGCGCGAGGAGGGCCGGGTGGGTGGGGAACGTGCGGAAGACGGGGGACTTGTTGAGGAGGGCGTAGATGCGGTGGGTTTTGAAGCCTTCGAAGCTGTTTCTGCCGCCTGTGGTGGTGGTGGTGGTGCTGCTGCCGCTTGCGCTGGTGGTCGGGATGCTGTCCTTGTTATTGGCATTGGCGGAGAACCCCCCCGCTGGCCCGGCTGTCTCAGGCGAGGATGTCAGGCGGACGATCTCGGCGTGGGCTTCGTCTGCTTCCGCGGCGGAGAAGGCGGAGGGGATGATTACGTAGCCGTGCTGTTTTACGTGGGCTATGAGGGCTTCGATGTTGGGGACGGCGGGCGCGGAGGAGGAAGAGGTGGTGGTGGTGTGTCTGGACAGACGGGCGTCGGCGCCGGTTTGCGCGTTGACGAGGGCTTGGGCGCGGGATTGGAGTGGCATTGTTGTTTCTCTGTGTGCGTGTGTCTCTTTCTCTACGAGTGTGCTACCAAAACTACTTCTTGACAGGGTGGGAGATGCATTTTGGGGGGTACTAGGGGGGCCGCGACTTATACGTCTGTCGTTGGCTGTGGTGTTATTCGGCAAGATGTGGGTCCGCCGAGGTCCCGGGAGATGCGACTCGAACGCGGGGAAGAGGTAGACAACTCCAAAAAATCTAAAATGACGGGTTGAATTTGGGGTTGGTGTGCGGGACTGCCGAATTTTTTGTGATGAGAAACCATCGTCCGGAACGATCGGGTCAATGTCACTGTTCTGCTGTTGAATTCATAAGACGGACGACTCCGTGAGTTACTGTCACTCTTCCAGCCGGAGGGGTCCGCGTTGGCGGAAAGCTTGGGCAGCTCCGATCGGCCCCACTTTTGCCCGGGATTTTGACTGCATGCAAGTGAAGTAGGTAGTTCTTTTTCATCTGGGCTAAGGTACCTAAGGTGATGCAGAAACTATTGCTGCCATAATTTTTCAGTCCGACCTACGATCCTAATCTGGCTTGTGACTTGAGACAGAGTGCGGAACATTTCTTATTGTCGAAAACCCAGTATCCTGTGCCATGCGTCCTTTCATGCATCATTAAAATGTCATACAATCATCACTCCAAGCGTAGCCCTTCGAGCTCCTTCTTCAGCACCTCCACAGGCCGGAATGTGCTTCGGAAGGGGCCCAGCTGCACAATCCTCACCGGCACGCTCTCCTCCTCCTTGTACTCCTCGCCGGCCGCTGCGGCTCTCTCGGCCTCGATCTGCGCCACGCTCTTCACGTCGGAAAAGTCCCCCTTGATGCCCGTCTTCTCCTCTCCCCAAATCTCAAAAAATGGATAGCCGTGGTTGGCGTATGACTGGGCGTTAACCGGGGTGTCGGGGGCCGGCTGTCCAGTCACGGCGCAGAAGGACTCGACGCTCAGGATCTGCAGGTTCAACATCACTGAGGCCTCGACGTCCCAGACGTCGGCCGGATACTTGTCTTCCTCGATCGTTTGGGTAATGAGACCACCAGCCGCAAGACCCATCTCCTCCACTGCCGGAGGTGGTGCCGCCATAGGACTGGAGACGGAAGCTGCGCACATCATCATCTCGGGACCGCCGCCAGGAGCCGCCATGGACTTGAGCCCTCCCATCATGCGCATGCGGCCTCGCATTGGCGTATCGTGCACGACGTTGACAGTCGAGAAGTTTGGTGGGAAGTAGGTGTCGCCAAGCTTGGTATTGTCGGAAAAGTCGATTCGGTACTTGTCAAAGCCCGAGCGGTTGTTGTGGTCGCTGAGACGCTGCTGATCGACGGCAATGTCGAACTCGTCGCGGATGAGCTTCTTGACGTCCAGCCAGGTGCTCTCACCGGTGAGACCCTTTTCCGCAACGTTGAAGGTCCGGGTGACGACCTTATGCTCCTTGTTCTCGTAGCGGACGTCAAACTCGGTTGGGAGATTCTTCTTGATGGGAATCACTTCAATCTGGATGCCGCCAATGTTCTCCTCTCCGGTGACCTGGGCCTCGACCGAGAAGCCCGATCCCTTGGGCTGCGCGACGAACTGCCGGATCTTGCCGTCCTCTGATACAATGCCGTCCAGCCAGTTCTGGTCAGGCACCACCATGTAGTCCTGGATCTGCTTGCCGCTGTTGAGCAACCGCACGCGCTTTTCGAGCGTCTTTTCGTTCTCCGTCATGGGCAGGCCGGAAACCGCATTGACACCGCCAACGTAGATCTTGATGGCGAAAGGGGCCTGGGCCGAGAAGTTGACCCACATAGCCTCGCGCTGGTACATTGGGAAGAAGATGCCGCCCTTCTTGGCCATGTCCGGGGGCATGTTGTGTGCGTAATCGTGGACCTTGAATAGAGGGAAGGTTCCGAGACCGGGGGGGAGACTGTTGGTGTCTCTGTTGTCGGGGACGCGGATTGTGCGGTTGAGCTGGATAGAGAGGGCGTCCTTTTTGCTGCCGTGAGAGATGCGGATGTCTGATCGTGTCGAGTTGGGGCCGTCGTCTCCCAGGCGCACCGTCACTCTGCGGCTGCTGGCAATGGGCTGCTCCTGGGAACGAATCTCAGGCATGACCTCGACGGTCTCGGGGTCGCTGGTGTTGGTCATCTTGTGTTGTGGTGCTGGGAGTCGGGTGGTGGAGTTGCGTGGAAGACCGTTCTATGGTATGTTGTATGGTGAGTCGGATGTTTTGACTCTACAACCCGAGGGATTGCAGGTTCTTATAGATGAAAGGTAGACGATAGTTTTGTATCGTCTGAGTCAATATCCAGGTGCCACGCAGCAGTCGGACGGTTGAGGAGAGGCCATTGTGGTTCAGCCTCATCGTGACACTAATCGGGAAGGTACGACCATCCATGGAGGGAGCAACGGGAAGCTGCAATTGGTGCTCCTGCCTTGAAGTCGGCTGCCTCCACAGACCGTGGCCGGTGATTGGTCACGGTTTCCAGATCGGGCTGTTGGGACCCCGCTGCCTGGGGCCGTGCGCCAAGCCAAGGACCGGGGTGCGACGTCACTCCAGCGTGTTTTACGCAGCGGCGTATTACTGACTTTGACTTATCCGGGAAGCATTCAACCACATTCAACGACACGTATGACAGCGTTGCAAATTGTTATTGCACCCTTGACCGAACCCCAGTCGCTTTGTGATGGGAGGCAGTCGTGAAAAAGGCACAATCTTTCTCATTCACTAATGGCACTGTCTAGGCAGCTAAGGCACACATCCTGACTGACTCCATTGCTGGCCAGACTTACGACAGAGCTACGACTTTTTCTTCTTCTTTTCGGCGTGCTGTTCGGCGCTACCCTCGTCGGCAGCGCGCTTCGCCGGTGTAACCTCATCTCCCTTGGGTCGCGCCGTCTTGTGGTCCTCGCCGTGATCAGCGTGCTCGCCGTCGTCGCTCTCAAACTCGTCCATCATCTCCGTGTCCTGGCCCGCAAAGAGCTCGCGCCAGCTACCGTCCCGCACCTTCTTGTCGTTCCCGTGGAGACCGACTCCGTACGCCTGCTTCATCGCCGCCAGACACGCCGTCCTCCTCTCGTTGAAGTCGAACATTGGCTTCGGGTACACGCCCTTTTCCTGCTTCTCTCCGCGACCCGTGACTCTCACCCCGGCCTTTTTCTGGTCCGGTAGCGGTGCTTTCCACGGCTCGTAAATGTACTTGGCGTCCAGGTCCTTGAGTTCCGGTACCCATCGCCGCACGAACGCGCCCTGCTTATCCCACTTTTGCCCAAACGACACGGGGCTGTAGCACCGAAAGTACTGCGAGAAGAAGGCCGAGCAGCTCAGCCATTGCCAGTTGCCGGCGTTGCACGCGGGCTCGTGGTCGAGCAGCCACTCCTCAAACACTTCGCAGCCGCGCTCCCAGTCAATGTAGCAACCGCCCCTCGTCAGGAAACAGGCGACCGAGTGGCGCCCCAGGTGGTGAATCCACCCTTCCTCGCGAAGCTGTCGCATTAGGGCGTCGATCCAAGGGAACCCCGTCACGCCGTACTTCCACCGCCGGAACCACTCGTCCGCCTCGGCCGAATCGACGTGGTACTCGCCCGTCACGAGGCCCGTCTCGTGGTCGACCTTAGATGGTAAATGCCACGGGATGAAGCGACAGTAGGGGTTGTTGGCGGTCTGCGTGAACTGGTAGCCCAGTGCGGCGTGTGCCGCAAAGTACATGTCGCGGAAAAGCAACTGGCCCAGCAAGCTCTCCGGCACCTTGGAAGCACCCTTGCCGTACTTTGTCACGACGTCCTGCACTCTCCAGTAAAACTCGCGCACCGACAGGGCCCCAAAGTGCAGGAACGGCGATAGAAAGGTCGTCGACTGCGGCTCGAATGCCGCGGGGCTCGTCTTTGGCTTCTCAAAAGTTGCCGTATACTTTTTGTCGGCCAGAATCTCCTCGAGCATCGCCAACGCCCTCGTCTCTCCGCCCTTGTGAGGCGTCGTCGCCGACGGGAACCCGAGCTCTTCCATCGTCTCAATCGCAAAGTCCCCCTTGGGCCCCGCAATCTTCTTGTACGCCGCGTCCCCGCCCTCGGTCCGGTTCTCCGCGTTGAAATCGGGCTTCGTCTCGGGCGGCGTCTGCTCAAAGTCCACCGGCATCTCACCCGGGTCCGGCAACGACTCCGGCGCGGCCACAGGCTTCGCGATGGGCCCGACCTTGGCGCCGGCCGCCTGCAGCTGCGACATGGACATGGTCGGCTTGCCGCCGTGCTTCTCGACCACGGCGTCGCTGTCCCACAGCGTCCGCCCGCTCTTGATAATCACCTCCACCCCGGCGTCCTGGGCGGCCTTGATGACCACCTCGTCCCGCTCGCGGCCGTACGCGTCCGTGTCCTTTTCAAAGACGAGGTGCGTCACCTTCCACGCCTTGAAGAGCTTGGGGAACAGCGTCTGCGGGCCCTCGCGTAGCACAAAGAGCTTGGACTTTGGGTTGAGCTTGGTGATGCTCTCTGATAGGTCATTCTGGCAGTCCAATCTGCGCACAACGGGTTTGTGTAAGTCATTTTACTTCTCCACGGGGGGGCGTGAGGAAACAAACAGGAACTGCCACCGGTTCAGGCCGCCTCGGGCGCGGTACACGTAGTGCGGATCCCAGGTGAAGATGGGCCACAGGGCGGCCGGCTCGAGCGCCAGTGCGGCCGCAAGGGCGGGCGAGTCGTGGAGCCGGAGGTCGGTCCGGAACCAGTATATCACGCGCGGGCCGGGTGCCATTGTGAATGTGAGTGAGTGTGTGTGGGTGGGAGTGAGTGAGTGAGTGAGGGCGAGGTATGTGACTGAGAAGTATTGGGGTAAGGGAGATGGTAGGTCACGAACGCTGTGTAACGCAAAACACGAAATCACGAGATACCTTCACCTCAACTCTAGGATGATGTCCCAATTGGCATGTCACTCAGCAAAGGGAGACAGACTTGTCGCGTGAGGAAGCGCGTCCTGGAGAACATGTTCCGCATTGAGACAAGATGGGTCGACTGACCGAGTACGGGGATACCAAAAAAAATCAATGATGTCAATGACTCTAAGCCACGCGAGTTTTTGGAGCAACCACAGCGCCACACATTTTGTTTTTCTTTTTTTTCCTCCTACGATTCAAACACAAAGTCTGCGGATGTCTCAGTCCCCTAACGTATCCTCACACCCGTACTCCGTACGCCCTACCTACCTATTGGACTGGTGGTCCAAAGAAGACGAAGACGAAGAGCAAGACGAGGGAAAATAAAAGCCCGGACCAAGACCCGCGTGTGCCCACCTCAATGCCCATGTGCCCGCGCGCCACTGGAGCCCGCCGAACGGGAATTCGTTCCCGCTTGGAGTACCTAGGTAATCCGTAAATCTCGCAGAAAATGCAGGAGATTGCGCGCCCATACTGCGTACCCGTTCGGTGGACCGTGGGCCGGTTTGGTTCTTCTGGGTAAGCATCCGTGACCCCGTCACCCGTCCACCCGTCACCCGTTTCGCCCGTCCCCTCCCGAAACTTTATTTGCATAATGGGCGGCGGCTACCGCGATGCTCGAATCGCGGGCCAATTGCTGTGTATCCGTACCTTGCATTGGTGAAATGGCTCAATGGCCCACAACCCACGAACCAGGACGATTGGAGACGAAAAAAAAAGACCCATGAACCCTGACTCGCACGGTTGGCAGATCGCCAGGGCTTTGCCAGGGAGTATCGTGGACGGTTCGTCGGTGGGACGGCACGACGAGAATGACGAACCCCTCGGCCCTGATTTCTCAAAGGCCCGAGGACGGAGAGCATGCCATACGGTAGAGCGAGAGAGAGAATGAATGAGTCCCTGGAGAGACAAATCGCATGCCTCGGATGGCCTCACCCATTTTCTTTGCTCCCTACATGTTTCCCGGCTCGCCCTTCACCCTGTGTCGGGCCGTGTAACCTCAGACGATCACGCTGCTCAGCCGAGGAATGCAACGCCTGCGACGATGGCCCGGCTGTCGGATGGGGATCGTCGGCGCCATCGACGCCAAAGTCGTGGCAATGGGACCATGCGCTGCGACAAGTTCCCCAAACGGGAGTGTCTCCCTTGCTCGCGGTGTGCAGTCAGATCATGTCGGAATGGAGGTCCGCTTCGGCGTGTGTCGGCTGAGCGCAGCATCACTGGTAGCTGAACAATGTGAAATGAGTTTGACAAGGCGGCGCCCCGACTTTGAATTTTGTATCCATCTGGTACCTAGCGAGGTCACAGCAAAAAGCCTGGACTTTGTCCCCCGTGGAGGAAAAGAGCACAAGACTGCCTTTCCCGCCAACGATGCAACCGGGGCCTCGAGAGTCGAACCGAATATCAAACTCGCGTCTCTCCATGATCATAACCCATAAAATTTCCACAAAGGGTATATATAGATACGAAGAAATGATGAGTGAATCGAGAAGAAAGTAAAGCAACAAATATGCAACAAATGGGATAGACACATGAAAAAAAAAAACGACCTTCGTAGCGGGTATTCCTCGCTTTGCTAGGCCGTGATGATAAATTACCGCCTGGCCTTGGAAAGACGGTTTCGACGTATGACAAGTATTGCACACTCGTTCTTGTACGCCTCTGTCGTCAAGAACGGCCCCAAACCCGACGAGAACTCCCAATTGAAACACCATCGCCGCCGTCTATTCGCCGATTTACCAATCTCCAACGAACGCCGTGTTACATTATGCTGCCATCCCGTGTCAAGTCGGTGGGGGGTTTTTGTTCTTCCTTTTGTCGTTCACCGCTGCTTTCTTGTCTTTTTGCGCCTGGTCGTTGAGGTTCCTCCTGCGCCGCCGCCACCTCCCGCGTTGTCTTCCTCGTCTTCGTCGTCGTCGCTGTCCACTTGCCGACGAGCGTTCTTCCCACCAGACTTTTCGTTGCCCTTCTTGATGGAAATAAGACATCCCTGCTCTTTAAGACGCTTGGTGAGAGGTGTGCTGGCCTGCATGCCCGGGAAATCCTTTGCGCTGTAGACAACAAATATGTCGCTCATGATGGTTGACCGGATGGGAGCTTTCTTCGCCATGTGCGTCGGATCGACGACAACCAACACAAATTTGAGACGGAAGCTGCCCGGTGTGCGGACTGACATGTCGGGGAAACAGAAGAAGCAGCCTTCGTTGCCGTTTTCGTCTTGGCCCACAAAGGGTGATGATACCAGTGAGCCCATGATCCGCTTGCCTGGTCGCATCCCATCGTTGGGCATGTTGGTTTCGTCGGTTTCTCCGTCCACGTTCCAGATACTGCAGTGCACAACGTAGGCAGGGTGGTGAATCTTGTTGTACAGCTCGTCAGGCGTGAGGTCGGGGTTGTTTATCCGCAGCTGGACAATAGGCGGCGGATCAATGACTCTTCTGTCTCTTTCGCCGTAGCCACAGCATCTGGCCGCCATGGGTTGTTGGCGGAAAAAGATTTCGTACTCGTTTCGCACCACCTTGACTTCTGGTTCCGGAACACGCTGGAGCATCCTCCGATCGTCGCTGCCACCGCTCAAAAGATCCTCAATTTTGACTCTTTCATGCTGGCTCGTGGCACTCCACGGAGCTCCGGCCGTCAGGATCGTCGACCCAGACCGCACTGCGGGAATCCTCAGGCTGGGCGGCGTGAATGGAATGGCGACCTTTCCTCCGCCCTGGTAGTTGTCGTTCAACACCCGCGGGGCACCCTGCGACACGTACGGCATCTGTGGAGGTTGGTTACGCTTGAGATAATGTGCTTCCCTTGCCGCCTGGTACTCGTCGTATGGCTCACTCTTGGTCGCGGACAATGTCGGTGATTCGCGTGGCGACTCCTGGGGATAGCGGGGCATGGGAGCTGCTCTGTACGGATCGGTAAGCTGTGTCGGTTGAGGCGGTGGCTGTTGGTAGTGTTGGTACTGCGTCGGCTGATGGTAGCTAGGCGAGGGGGGTTGGTGGTACTCGCGCTGATGCTGATAATCACTGCGGTAGTAGGGGGCTTGATGGTAGTCGTTTTGGTGATATTCGGGCTGCTGCTGTGCGACGGGCCTCGGTTGCGAGTTTGAGTGCATTGGAGGTGGCAGTCGCATTGGTTCGGGTTCGTAGGCGTAATGTCCGTCCATGGCTGGCCGTGGCGGGCCATACGACGAGGGCGAAGGCGCCCACGAGTTATGCCTTTGAGCCATGCTGGGTGCTTCAACTGGTTGATAGACTGTAGATTCCGCTATGTGAAGACGGAGAGAGAAAGGACGTCCAAGACGATTTGTGTAATTGCTCCTGAGAGTGAGCTGCCCTTATTAGCATCAATGCTCGTTCCGGCGCGAGGGCACCCTTCCACGTTCTCGGCTCGGGGGTGTGGCGGCCGGAGCGAACTCACTGTAGGTGGAGAAGTCTCAGATCCGTACTCAGCCCTTGGCCAAGTCAAGCGCTGGAGAGAGAGTGAGGTGTTCAGCTCCGGATGCGCTCAGTACGATCGGCGCGTGTCAGCTGGCCCGATTGTGAGTTGATTGAAGATTTTGAGAGAGAAATTGAGAAGAACGGCGTCGGATGATGCAAGTCAGGCCACGCCCATTGAAAGCTCTCTCGCCGAAGAAACAAAAGGATGAGAGGTGCTGGATGCTGAAGATGAACCGAGAGACGGGCGGTAGCAGAGAGGGGCTCTTTTGTCCGCTGTCTTGCCCAATGGCGCTTCGCTGCTTGGCGGACGAACGTGGGCAAGGGTCTCTACACAGGGCTCGTAACAGAACAGAGACACCTCGTTCCCTTTCCTTTTTCGCTGTCCAGACCACTGGTCGAAGGCGCGCGGTTGAGACACGGTCTAATCGTTATCGGCGACAAACAAGTTGCGGGCTGTTGCTCGATGGATCGGAGCGGCTAGGTGTGTCGGCGTGAATAGAGATGACCAGAGTCGAGCCGGGGAGATCCTTGTCCAAGTTGGCACCAGCGAAATCTAGTCTGATGGGAGCACCCAGAACCCGGGAGAAACGATCAGCGGGACGATTGAGGTTCGAGACAGAATGGCGTCGACTATGTTGTCGTTTGGCATGCAAGACGGATGAATGTTTGATGTGTGAGTAGACGTTGGCGGTCGGATCAGGCCAGCGTCGGATGGGCGTGGGCGTGGGAGGGTGTGCGGTGTGCGGTGTTGGGAGTGCGACCAGAGCGAGGCACAGGTATGGTGAAGGGAAGAAGAGGGCAAGGCAACGGTGGGCGGTGGGGGGTTGTTGGCAGGTATGTATATGAAGCTGCGGACAGCTCAACAGGGCCAATCCGCGGTTGCAGGAATCGTTTTTTCGGTGCCAGAGAAGGAGTGGAGGACGGAGACGAGAGACTGCACAGTATCTGCACACTGCTAGGATGGGCCTTGGTTCCCTGTTCGCTCTGTCCGTCTGGTGAAGTGCACCGCTGCAAAGGTACGATGGTTTCTGGCTCAGGAGGAGAGGCGAAGAAGGAAGAGAGAGAGAGGAGAGGGAGAGGAAAAGAGCAAAAGGCGAGCGAGGATCAGGGCCGACCAGCATCAGCACGCGGCATCCGCAAAACACCAGGTGCAGTGTTGGCTTGTCTTGTCCTGTCGAGGAGAGACCAGGATCAGGCCCCACGTCGGACAATGTGATGGATGGGGGAGAGAAATTGGGGCCTTGCGACTTGTTGGACGCGAAGGACGAGCAAGTGGTAAGCGAATGCTCCGTACCAGACTGGATAGTGGCCGAAAAGGATTCGAGACGATTTTTCGGTCACTGTGCAGAAGTGGTCAGTACTATCCATCAGAGTACAGAGTACGGATATCGTACGCAGATTTGGCTGTAAAAGGACGAGAGACCAACGGATAGAAGGGAGGCATTCGTTTGGAAGATTTGAGCGAGCAGGCACAGAAAGGTAGCGCGATAGGGTGGTCTGGTAGGCGGCGCGGAAACGGATGGGCTTAGGGGGGACCCCAGCTCTGGCGAGCCAGGGCCAAGAGTTGAACGAGGATGCGGTTCCAGTCCAGCAACCAGAACAAGGACCGGGATCATGGGTTCGACCAGGGCAAGCCGCAAGACAGGAGGCGACATTGGCGGACGGCTGGGGGGGTGGCTGTCGACTGTCGAGACTCTGGCCGGTGAATGGTCGGTCGAGGGGATTCGTGAGGGTGCCGCATCGCACTCGGCCTCCGTCCAGTTGGGAAAAAGAGAGACGGCACGACGGGTGCATGGGAACGGAGCTTGGAATGCAACTCGGATGAAGTTGGGCTGAGGAGTAGTGTACGGAGTAAGGAGGAGAATGCCTACCCGTAGGCTGGAGGCAGTCGAGGAGAAAGGATACGTACCGTTTCCTGAAGCATTGGACGGGCAGTTCATTGGACGAACGGGTCTGATTGGATCACAAAGAGGGAGGAGAAAGCTGGAGGGACTTGAGGTGGAAGGAACATCCAATTTTGGATTGAGGTGTGTGGGGAAGGCCCAACCCAGAGTACGTATCTGTACGTACCGCACTGATGACTACTCCATACTACGTACCTATGCGTACAGACACCTCAGGTAACTGCAAGTTGGTGCCTGCCTGAAGTGAGGTAACCGGTCCTCGGTCCTCGGTCCTTGGTGCACTTTTCTCATAACAATGCATTGCAGCCATCGCAGGCATCGCAACGAGCGTTGTGCAACACACCCAGCATCTCTCTCGCCAGGCTCACGCAGCAGCAGTCCTCCTTTCGGACCACAGAGTACGTACGGAGTACAGTGCAAAAGCAAGGGCTCCATTGGCCTGCAGAACTGCGCATGCGATGCTCCTGCGCCCAGTCGAGCAGAGTGGACAGAGTCAACGAATCAGATGGCGTTGGACGCCTCGTCGGAACTGCAACTTGGGACTTGGGTGTACCGGGGAGCCTTGGACAATGCAACCCGACCATGCACGCCTTAAACCCGCGAGGGTCAAGACTCGACGAGTGAAATAGGAAGCCCTGGTCCCAACCGCCAGTCGCAAACTCGACGACTTTGCACATTCCCCCGACGCTGCGATATCTCGCCGACAGCCTCTGTATTTGTACCGAGTCCCAGTCGACTCCAACGGCCCAGGAAGGGGACCATCTCGTCCTGGAGCCCCTGGACCTGGACATGGACCTGGACCGGCAGGAGCGAGTTCCGGAATCGCCACACGTCTATATTTACCTTGCATTTTACTGCGTAGCTGCACCGTGAGTACGAACTATCCCTACGCGACAGGACTGCAAAGCTATGTGTTCTCGGGGAGCAAAAGCATGGACAGCGGAATCAACAACATCTCGTCAAACCTGGAAGTTTGCGGGGACGTAATCGCGCCTTGAGGCCCGCTAAACGACGGGTGCATCCATACCTAGCGGCCGACGATTGGCGCCAGGGGCCATGCCTACACTCCCTTTCCGCGCTATCCTAGTGCTGAAGCTACGAGCGCCCGACTGACGCCTCTATGTACGCCTACGTAGTAGAGGTTGTGAGGTCCTCGAGGCTTTGGCGGGTACGTTAACCTCCAGTGACAGCTTTCACAGACCTGGAAATCTGTCAAGGCTTCGACGGTGCGGCCAGCGGCGGGCAGCACGATGCAGGTCGAGTTACCTACGTACCCACGAGTACTCCGTACGCAGCAGAGGAAAGTGACAGACTCAGCATCTGCAACGGCCGGGGGGAGGGGACCTGCCTCTGTTGGAACTTGGGTCCTTGCTGCTGCAACGAGATTGGAACCGGGGCTTGCGCTTCACCTCACCATCCCAGCCGTCCCACGCAATTTTCCTCCCTCCCTCTACCCACGCATCCAAGTCCACATCTCCATCACCCAGACACACTCGTACGCTTCTGGAATACAACTCGGCCGCCCTCAAAGACACTCTGAGCCTGCGGCCTCCACTGCGCCGCCTTGCTGATGCGATGCCCCTCAGCTGACTGAGCCTCGGGCGAGCCTCTGCTCTGTACGGAGTAGTGTGTATTCCACGGCTACACTATGTCCCAACGTGCATGTTTGCTTGCTGACATTTGCTTTCAGGTCTCGCACTCGCTCATGCTTGTGAGCATTGTGGAGATCGAGATCCTGCTCAGCTTCTCGTCGCTTTCTTTTGCATCCGCCGCAGCCCGCTCTCTGCTGTGCCACGCGAGCGAGTCTCGTCCACGATCGCAGACCACCCCGGCCCATACGTGCCAAAGACTCGCCAACTACCTTATACTATTCGACATACCCGCCGAGGCATTTACAATCAGACATCTCCTGGGGACCGCCTTTTTGCACCGGAGGACGGGGGCTTTCGTCCCAGCCCGGCCCGCTCCTTGTGCCCTCCTGGCTCCTGCTATGCATCGTCTCCGAGTTCCCACGTCCGTCGCTTTGTCGCCCCCAATTCTCAACGTCCTCCGGTCGTCCAGCAAACACGCTTCTCAATCGAGGCATTCACCCGCGCCGCTTGCTCACCCGATCGGCGAATAGCCCACGTTCCCCTGTATTCCTCAATTCCTTCCGTCGGCATGTCGATAGTGCTCGACCTCGTTCATCATCCATTGGTAATGATCTTCATGCCTTGCCGACACCAGCCCTCAGTGCTAACACGAGGCAATCAAGTCGCACTCAGTCAGCGGGCTACCAGGGACCAGTCCATGGGCTGATGTCAGCGCACGTTGGTCTTTTGTGCACTTTTTTCGAGACCACCGACCGAGGCTCCGTTGGATTGTTCTCGGGTCAATCATTGTCCAGTATGCACCCGCCGCATGCAACAAAGCATTTCGTTGTCAAACCAATGCGCCGTGGCGGGCACCGGCAGCCACCCGGAACCGATATTGCGGCTGCTGGGAGAATATCCCTCTCTTGCACGGTCATTGACTTGATTCTGTAGGCCTTCCGCCCATCAAGCTGGGCAGCAAGTCTCGCGTCTGTATGACTCCTGTGCACCTCCACGTGTGGCTGGAGACACTCCGTACGAATACATGCCAATCGACGGACCAATCGATGGAACGGTTATTTGCAGCTCTACAGCTTTGGGCCATTGGTGTGGACGCCGCAAAGTAGGTATGTGACGCTGAATCCGGGTTCGTGTTTGCTTGTCAAAGGGAAGGGCCGCACGCCCGGGGTGCGACCGGGGTGGGTGGCAGCAAATCGAGTTGGATAAAGTTCAGCATATCGTGCACATCTCCGGATGAGAAGAAGGGCGAACCCCCGGGACCGGTACGGAGTACCTGGATTTCGGGCCACATGTTCGGATGGGACACAGATATGCATGTCTTTTAGACGGTGGTCTCGGTTGTCAACGAGCGTCGCCAATCGGCGTCGACACGCGCCGGCGCGGTGAGACAAGATCAGTCCTTTGCAATTCGTTTTCCATTCTCTGACGTTTCTCTAGTGGCGCTGCTGCATTCCACCACCTGCCGGTCACCTCTCACCCGCGTCCGCCTACCGAGTCGACGGTTCCCATCGTCGACCGCGGGCGATTGCAGCGAGATGCCTCTGAGCTGCCGTCAAATCAAACTCTATCAACTGCAGGGCTGTCCCCCAGGTGTACGATTGAGACTCGATGAATTGTTCTCGCGGCGGCCAACAATGGGCATGTGACGACCATACTCGATCCAAGACAAGCGAGCCAAGCAAGTGTATCCGTACCGACACTCTACGCCAGCTGTTGGCTGTTCGCGTATCTTGCCGTGCCTTTTGGCGGCGAGAGTCGAGGTCCCGGACTCAGACTCGTTCCATTGTGGGGTCATTTCCGGATATGTTCACGCCCTCTTGTCGCTGTTCGCACTCGATGTCGACGTCCCCACACACACACCAACCGTCAACCCCGCTCTTGTTGGTTCTTAGCTGTTGGTGATTGTGTTCAACCTCTCGCAGGGGTCCAGCAGCGACGCCACAGGGCTTTCCTCCGCTAAGAACGGGTTAAACGACGGGTCCGTCATCCCGCCAATCTAGCTCTGACAGGGACGCTCGGTCCATACGCTGGCGTTATTGTTATTCTTTTCACCTTTCAAAGACACTACTGTGTAAGCCTTGCCGTTTCGGCCAGCACTTACTTCCAACGACGGCGTCGATTCAGTCAACTATTCCTCATAGCTACGGCCGTTGCAATGGAGCAGTGTCTCGAACCCCCTCTTTCGCGCCTTTGAGGTTGATCTCGCTCCATCGCCGTCGACCACGATGAGAAAACACGGCAACGAACGTACGGTACCAGCCTGGCGGTACCTTGAGTGCCTGATACGAACCGCCATTGGACATCGTCCGTCACATCTGCTTAGGCTGCAGCAAACAATAGTCCGCTTACACCAAGACGAGCGGAAAGGCTCCGACCTCTCGTACCTCGGTCCTGTCGTGGCTCATTTCCGCATCTCATCTTTGCACTGTCCGGTGACAGTCGCTCGGGTCCGGACCAGGGCCCTGCCAACGCATGCATTTCCTTACAATGGCAAAATGCCCGCTTCCAACAACCCAGCCGCCACCAATCACCAACTCTGCATCCTACCCTCCACCGCAAAGAGGACCACAACAGGTCAGCGAGGCGCCGCTGGTTATCTGCGTGCCTTGCGTCGCCATCTACGCATCATGGAATTCGCCAATGCCGGTGGTGGGTGCCACAGGCGAGGCCGGCATGCTCTACCGCAATCTCCAACTACCGCCGTCACTCGCCGTCCCACGGAGCGGCGTTGATCACGGAATCCGGCCGGCGTTCTCAAAAGCATACGCTCCTCTGTGTGGCTGCTGTCATTTCTCCTCGCGCCCAGGGTGACGGCCTGCAATGCCGTTTTGGCTCTGTCACGGCGCATCTGTCACATCACCTAAAGAACTGGGTTATCAATGATCCTTAACCATCCAATGAGCGCGCGATTTCTTTGCAATTTGGCTCGCGGTTGTGCGATTCCGCAGCGTCCGTCGTTGGCAGCCCCCGCATTGCACCCTTGCGGACTCCTGACATCTGAAACGCATAATGGTAGGGCACCGTCGCGTGGCAGTCTTTGATTGCGGACACATGCAAGGAGGGGCAGAATTGTTCTGGAACGTTTCTCGAGACATTCGTTACGTTGTTTAAGCTGGTTGATGGCCTTGATGAAGGAGTCGGGATAACTGACCGTGCTTCGGCGGTCATCTTTGCTTGGTTGTGTACCGCGGTCGCCGCAGACCTGCCGTCTCCCAAACCACAGACACGATGCTGACCGTCGATTCAAGGAGGTGAGTATCTTGAATTCGGTCTGCTGGCATAGAGTGCGCCCATGTGTTGTCTAGTACCTCCGAGTAGGTGGCACAATGATTTGCCGCTCATTGCCTATCCTACATGCTTGCGTGTTTCTGCCATTGCTCTTCTCTGCCTACCTCTCTACTCTATGTGTGCTCTCGAACAAGAAGTCTTTGAAGGGAATAACGGTAATAGTAAAAGGAAGAGGATGGCACTAATTATGGCTAACATGATTGCCGTCGTATATTTACTGGTCCGACCGCATCATTGATGGAGGTGCTCTCTCACAGAGGAAGTGCATTCTTCCTTGTTAGATCAGGCGCAACAGCGATTTGCCGTCGCTGTATAAAGACTGAGGCCGATGCGAATGTCACGAGACATGCAAGAATGGTGATGCCGAACGAAGCTTGTAAACTACGGAGGAACAGAACTGTCTCGAGCTTTCTGGTCAGACTACGGAAGTTTACGCTTGATGCATCAAACCAGGATCCACGTCAGCATCTATACATTTGTGATGTGCCATTTCTTTATCAATCTCTTCGGGAGTTCAATTCGGTGCATGGCTACAATGTGGGCATCAGGGATGCGTAGTAGATATCGACCAACGGAAAAAGATAAGCCCTGAATTGAGGATGGTGAAAGTTCTGTCCTCTGGCCTCAGTTGCATTTATCGAAGTCACGTGAAGAGCAGTGTGTCATTGGATAAATGATGCCATTACGACAATGACCCGCGCTGCAGTCAGAAAGCCGCTGTAGGGTTGTACTGGGGAAAATAGAAGCATTTGGGAAGGAACCTATCCTCTACGAGCACGTTTTCGTCATTATCAACCAGCTGCCTGTGGTCCATGTAACATCATCACGTAGAGCCAATAGAGAAAAGAGGGAAAAGGTTAGAGCCACGATTGTGGATTACCATGGTCGGCGTTTAAACTGCATATCTAAGCGGGTCTTAAGGAGTGAGACAGTTGGCCACGTTCGACGATGAACTCGAAGACATAACGGTTTCATATACCTGCGAAACCATGTCCTTTGAGATACATAATCCCGATACTTGTCCAAACGACGAGACAGCACCGGGAGCAAGATGTAACATGAAGCAGACATTCAGATAATAATGAACACAGTTTTATTGACACTATTCCTACATTACTAACTCATACCATTGAGGCACGCCTCCGATCATTATTCTGAGGTCGTGTGGGAGGCACTGGATCTTGGCCTCAAGACACCGTCTTGAGCGACTTTGGCAGGGCTTCAATCGCCCATTGGACGATTGTTTGCACTTTGTTCGTCTCCAGACCCCTACCTAAGGGCCGGAGGGTGGTCGCATAGATCACTAGGTTTTAGGTTCAAGACACCGTCTCGATTAACCTTGGCAGGAATTCAACTGCTTGCCCACCGGACAATCGTTCGAAAACCTTAGTCTACAGGTCCCGCGTCAGGGACTGAAGAGTAGTCACATGGATCACTAGATCTTGGTCTCAAGACATCGTCTTGATCGACCTTAGCGGGGGGTGAACCGCTCGTCCTTAAGACTATCGTCAGAGAACACGATATAGGGGCTCATCGTTTTCGGGTCCCGCTTCAGATAATTCTGAGAGGCGCTGTCGTTGCTGTAATCATAACGGACCCATGGACCGCGCGACAAAGTTTGAGGCCTTGCCAGATTCTGTCCAAAGGACCTGGTCCATGGAAATCCCTTTGACAAGAGGTGCCTCCATTCATGGATAACCATTGTATCATGAACGGCTGCACCAGTGGCGTAGCGGTCGGCAAGCTGGGCATAGTGGACCCAACTACGTGTGGTTCTGAGCAAAGGCTTATTGGCGCGACGAAAGACGAGGATGTGAGTCCATTCGAAGTCGTCGAATGCCGGCTGCTGTGGACAGTTGTCCATGGGGTGCTCCTTGGTGTTGCAGAATGGACAACCCGTCAAATCACCCCGAGCGTCAGGCCAAACGCAGTCTAAGAGATGGTGGCCCTTGCCCGAGCAACTGCCGCAAATCATACTGGCGCAATCTCGGTCCCTCTTCAAGAATTCAAAATCCCTTGAGGCAAAGTCCAGCTCTCTGAATTTCGAGTGAGAGTTCGGGTCTGGTTTCTTTTTGAATTTCGGGGGTTTGTTGTGCGGGTCATTGCGACGGCGCCTGGATTGCTTCGATGACGCCGAGCTTTGCACATTAGAAAGCATCGACTGGGAATCGGACTGGGTTGAAGAGACGAGGGCCATGTTTTCCGAGGACTCTGGAAGTGGCATTTCATCTTCCTGTCCGTCAGCGGTGGATTGCTGAGCTTGACTGCTGCCAGCGGACTGCATACTAGCAGCCTCTTGCCTAGGCTGCCGCTCAGCTTCGTGATCATTGCGATGACTATCAATCAGGACATCGGACTGAATATCAGTCGCGCCGCTCGCATTGAGGGCCGTTCCACTCTTGAGTTGTATGGATAATGGGCGGCTGAAGAAGTCACCACTAGCCGAATCGGTCTCCATGGGCTCTGGACGAGAAAGAGAAAGAGAACCGGATGGGCCGGGGAAAGAAGCTGAGGCATTATCAGCGTTCTCATCATCCCGCGGTACTCGAGGACCTGGCTCAAAGCGGGCCACAGCAGTGAAGACGGAACCATTGCCGTGCTTCATAATTTGGTCCAACATTGACTGGGTCTGCTCACGTGGCCCGCACAGGACGAACACGTCGTCCGCGCGTTGGTCGATGACCGCCTCTCCAGGACGGTAGCTAATGACTTGACTGATTCCATTGTAATCAGTAGTGACTTGGAGCCGGTCAAACACAGGCTCGGCTTGGGGCGAGGATCGACGGGCTCGCTTGGTGTCGGTAGGACTGTTTGATCGAGAGCGATCTCGTTTGGGGCGCCGAGGCGCTGCTTGGTTTTCCATGTCTGACTTTCAGACCATGCAAATCAGCATTTGATGTTCACAATGCATGTCAGGTGTGATACTTACCTTTGATTGACAAGACACAGCGTCGTGTTTGTGTTAATTTGGGGGTGTGGAAGTTGAGAGGTAGTTGGAGGAGAAGGGTTGGGATCTGTGAAAAGTGGAAGAGAAGAAAATAGAGAGTGGGGGAAAAGAAAATAGAAGAGCAGGAAGGGGCAAGTGAGAAGTGGAAAGGCGAAGGTAGGCAGGTGGAAGAAAATTTGAAATTGGCGGTCACTTCTCACGTGAGGTGTATATTCGTCAAGTGGATTAATTACACAGAATACAGGCTTTGAATTCTTGCGCGACTACATTTGGTACCATCTCGACCGCCTTGCTCTATAGCTCCATCATGTCAACATCTCTTATGCCATTACCTAATTTTCCAGTGCCGTAGAATCAAGTTGCTGAGGTATCGACCTTCGAGTACCATCCATGTGTAGGTTCACCGTTGCACTGGACGAGCGGGCAACGAGAACCTAAGTTTATTACCTTAATAGCCCGGCCATCCCCTGAACACGTGATAGAGAAGGAAGAAGGAGGCACCCTAGCACCTTCCTTAGTTCGTCAGCCCACGCAGCCTCGTCCGAAGCTATGCCTCAGGGCTCCTTGACACCACAGGTGAAGCCTATATAGGTCAGCCCAACTCCATTCCTGTCACCAGCGCAGCAGGCGCCCGTCTAGGTCGACGGGTCAGGTCAAACTGTGGCGTGGTGGTGGAATGGTTAATGGTCAACAATCGATTTACGCCAACCAGCCTACTCGACGACAGGCTTAGCGAGTATCCGAGTTCGAGTCCCAGCAAGTGCGCCAGAGATGTAGCCCCCAGTTCAGCACCGGGTGAACTCTTTGCTGTTCTATTGTATAGATGGAATTGACTTTTTCTTTAGGCCATATTTAACATGTCGTTTTCCCAGGTCGGTTATATGTAGAGGGATAAACGCAAGTATGGCCGAGGGAACGGAGCCACTGAGGATATAAAGTCTTGAGAGGCTGCCAAGCGTCAATCGAGCGGGTGGTATTCAAGGACAAAGATCTTGAATGTGGGAACGAGAGATTTGTGATGAATTGCAACCTCCGACCTTTCAAATTGGAACATTTTACCCTCCAGACTGCGATATGGCTCATCCAAATAAAAACCTGGAAAAATCGGGGCATTGAACAGACTGAACTTGCCTTACCTGCAACGAATCCATTCGTCACGGCCATCATCCAGCCAGCAGGTAGTCAAGAAGACAAGCCTGGGGCCGGCTTGGCACGGTGAAGTGGGGCCGGTAATAGCGGTGGATGTACCCCAGTCAATGGCATTGATAAGGAACGCGGTGACCCTTACATGAGAACCTGACTCTCTAGGCGCCCCAGTCTTGGAGAGCCTGTAGATCGAGTCAATGTCATTGCGTCGGTAGGATTCCAAGAATGACGCATTAAAATGGTGATGGCTTGTTTCTCGCTTGAAGTAGGTAAGATAGTACGTGCTGCTGCCTGCTTTAGCGCATCTTCTTTGAGCAGGTCGGCGGATCGCATATCCGACTTCACCTCCTATTTCCGAGTTTTGTCAGCCAGGAACCGAGCAACACTGACATATAGAAAAGGCGGACAACTCCTCTGATCATCATTTCTGCTACTCCACATAGCTTTGTTTGCGCGTTGCTTGATCGTATTTCCTAGGCTGCAGAAACAGGCGTATCTTCGGCCATCAGTCGACTGCCGTTTCGTTTCCGGCACGCCATTGCCATTGAATGAGAACACAATCAACACTCTTCCCAAACAGACATTACCATGGCGAATCCTGCTCAGCACGACCGTGGTGTAGTCTCGGTGGCACCGAGGTCGGTCGACTTGGAGTTAGCCCCCCTTCCGGACCCCGCACCGGCCGCAACTGGCCCCGCTCCGGTCGGTCCCACCCCGTCAAAGGACTCGGATCCTTTCTTAGTCACCTTTGCACAACCGCATGACGCCGAGAACCCTCTCGACTGGCCCGCGGGTCGAAAATGGATGGTCACCGATGTGCTCTCGGCCACCGGTTTCAATCGCATCATGGTTTCAACAATCATGGCGCCCGCCCTGACGAACATTGCGGCGGAGCTCGACATGACCTCCACCGAGTCCGCCATGGCGCTGTCCATTTATCTCCTTGCGACCGCATTTGGCCCCCTCGTCATGGGACCGATGTCTGAGATTTACGGTCGACAGGTCGTGCTCCACGCCTCGAGCGTATGGTTCCTGATATGGAACGTGCTCTGTGGTTTCGCAAACACCAAGGGAACGCTTATTGCCGCTCGCTTCCTGGCGGGCTTCGGCGCCAGCTCCATCTACGCACTCGGAGGCGGAGTTCTGGGCGACATCTGGCGCCCTGAACAGAGAGGCCAGTCTCTGGGGTTTTATCTTCTGATTCCCCTGCTGGGCGCAGCCGTTGGTAAGTTGGCCGAGCTCCGCACCCAACCAAGCTAACCCCTTCTAGGCCCCATCATTGGTGGCTTCATTGCGGCGCGCACGACGTGGCGATGGATGTTCTGGTCCACTTCCATGTTCCAAGCCGTCATGATCTTTGTCTCCTTCTTCAGCTTCCCAGAGTCCTACGGCCCGCTCGTCCTACGCCGGCGGGCTGCTCGTCTCCGCAAGGAAACCGGCGACACGAGATACTACACGTTCAGCGAGAGAATCGACGCTGGCAAGTCCACTTTGGCAGTCGTCAGAAACTCTTTGACAAGGCCGCTTCGTCTGCTCCTCTTCCATCCCATTATTCAAGTGTCGGCCGTCCTGTCGGGATTCAACTATGGTATCCTCTATGTCACGCTGTCGACCTTTGCAGACATCTGGAAACAGCAATACGGCCAGTCTGTCGAGATTAGCGGGTTACACTACATCGCCTGCTCTTTTGGAGAGCTTGTCGGATCTCAGTTTGGTGGAATGATGCTGGACCGCTTGTACAAACGTCGAGACCAGCCTACACCAGAGTCTCGAGTCATGCTCGCATTCTTTGGTATCGTGCCGGCCTGGCTGGGAACTCTTTTTTACGGCTGGACAGCACAGTATCGTCTCTACTGGCTGATCGTCGATGTCGGAGTCGTTGTCATGATGTTTGGCATGCAGCTTAGTGGAATGCCTAGTGAGTTTGATTTGGTCTATTGGTGACATGACTGACAAGTTATCAGTGACGGCCTACGTGATTGACGCGTACGCAGAGCATACCAGTAGTGCCATGGCAGCGATTCAGTTTGTCAAGAGCTTGACTGCTTTTCTGTTCCCGTTGTTTGCCCCGAGTATGTACCATGCACTCGGATACGGCTGGGCCAATAGCTTGATGGCCCTTGTGGGCGCAATGCTTGCCGTCCCTCTTCCTATTTTCATTTGGAAGAAGGGGGCCCAGCTGAGAGCCAGGGCGATGTCGACATACTGAGCAGTATCCCTGTATCGTAGACCTCGAGCTATCTACCCAGCCAGATCTTCCACCAAGCTGAGATCTACTCAACCTTGTGTACCGCATAAGCCTGATGAGTTACTTTGCCGAGCTGCTGGTACCCTTGATGAGTACGTCTACGAATGCGACCAAGATCCTGACGAGCAAGGCTTTTACGAAGACTTCTACGAGGCGCATTTTGAATAGGCCGATGTAATCGAGGATGCCATCCTCGAGTTGGAGGAAATCGATAGACGGAGAGCGAATCAGTCGGAAACCCCGGGGAACAGAGATACATAGATTCTGTTTTCTTCAGCACGACACCGACAATGATCTGTACTAAAGGAAATTCTCCCACTTTCTCTCGTGGCTTTCTCACAAGCTGTGAATTCTGCTACGGTCATTCAGCAGGTGATTACCAGGGCATTCGGAACCAGAGGCTGTTGTTGCTGTGTGTGCTGCCACCGAGCGTTTGTTTTTACTTGATCAGCTCGATGCCTTCTATCCCACCTCCTGTTCTCGTCCAGAGGAAATGAGCCTAGCCGAGAGGCGAGAGACCGCATGCCTGCTCCGTCTTATATACTATCCATATCTTACGTATTGTTATTTTTGGTATTACACTGCGCTTTCTGAAACTTATTTCATAAGGAATACATAAGAGATAAGAAGGAATTACGGCGGTAGTATTAGTGGTAGTAGCAGTAATAGGAATAAAAGAAGTAAAGCTAAGGTAGGTGGAGCAGCGAACCATTGCGCTGCCTACTAACTTTTCAAAATACCTTGGAAAGCACAAGCTTAGAAGATGCCTTACCCGGCGAACGTACCTGCCTCACGTAGGCAACTAACTGCCTTGTTATCGTGCCTCACGTACCTACCTTACCTCACTCATCTGCCTCATGCACCTTCCTCGCCTGACTATACCTCTCTTTCCCTAGGTAAGGTATCCGCCTACCTTATCTTACACCAACGCACCCGGTTTTCTCCACTGCAACTTCTCTGGAAATATTTCAACAACATCAACGAACGAGAAAAAGTTACATGCAGCAAGACTTCTCAGGTAACTTCGACGAATAATAAATTCATTCAGCCACTAATTTACGTCATAGAATGGCATTCAACGGCAGCCGCGGCATCAATGCCACCAACAACAACGGCGACCAGCAGAGGCTCGACTCTGTACTTGCTCCTTACCGCAAGAACAGAAAGCTTCTGAGAGTGAAGAACCTCCCGTTTGCGGAGACCAGGGACCGCGTCGAGGCCTTCCTCAAGTCGAAGCTCACCAATTCGGAATCTGCCAGCTTCAACTGGCCTCCCTCGGGTCGCACTCCGGGTCACGATGGAGTCGTGTTCATCTCCTTCAGAGAGCGCAACGACTGTGTCAGGGCCGACCGAGACCTCAAAGGAGTCATATACCCAGGACAAAGAGGCCCCCGCGAGTTGATCGTCCAGTTAGACAGAGGCAGAACCCTCGTAAGTTCAACTTCGTCTACACACAACACGCTTTCCTAACTGCGTATCAGGCTATTCCAGCAGCTGCTAGGGACAGGATTCGCAGCCCCGACACAGCCAACAGCACTACGGAAAGGCCTGAGCAACAGGTGCTCGTCCCTGCCTCCTCCCCGGGTATCACAGCCGAAGTTCCATCTCTTTCCCGAACAGCTCAGCAACAAATGCCACTCTCAGTTCCGTCTCCAGGCCCCACAGCCGGAGTTCCATCTGTTTCCCGAACAACTCAGCGATATGACTTCGACACGGCTCGACGAGCCTTCGACTACATTGAATCTGGACTCGCTGCTCCAACTGACGCTGAACGCATGCGGCTTTCACAAGAGTTCTTTACCAACGAGATGAAGATTAGATCGGAGAGATATGGTAACGACGGTGGTCTGGCCTCAGAGATCTCCGGCGCTGTCGTTTCCGCCGCGCCCCCTCTTTCTTCTCCTGCTCCTGCTCGCACAGCCGATGAGATTTCTTCCTCTGCTGCCCCGACGGTCTTGATGCTCAATCCGCGGCCAGCAAATCCTACTGGCATATCCTCTCGGACAGAGTTTCAAACCTGGAAAGCCTTCGTCGGTGCCCCGGGTGATTCAGACGATGATGACGAGAACAATGGTGGCGCCAGACTTGGCTATTACTAAACCGAGTACTTTTCCCTCGGAAAACTTTCGCAATATCGATCGATACATCGTCGGAGTCATTCACCTGCGATGATGGCTTTGACCTCTAGCTTGTTGCGATAAGACGTCTCGACTACTCGACAAAAGCTGCTGGGCGAAAGCCCGAATCTCGTTTCCTACTAGGCGAAAGCCTGAATATAAGGTTGAAAATCCTTGGACCGCAGTCCTAAAGTCGCCCTGGCGGCCCTAGAGTAATCCACGGGTAGGGTTCGATTCCCTAGCGATTCACTTCTGTGCCCTTGTGGACGGAAACTGCATTTGGTTCTCACATTTGCACGAGAAAGGAATGGCGGTGATTGGAACATGAAAAGAGTGCTTCCATATGGCCTGTGGTCATATTGGGCCCCTTGATCTCTAGCTATCACCTCGTCTCTGTCATCTATCTTTTGAAATAACGGCTTTCTTTTTTCTGGATAATACTGATGGAAGAACAGGATAGAGAGTCTGAACGACGCTTGATTAAGGTATGTAGGCATCATCGTCATGAACCCAGATCTAACGATTTTTCAGATCCAAGGCTTTGCTGCGGCATATCCCGCCATCGTACGAAAATCAGATCTTGACCAACAATGTCAGCCATCCGACCAACAAGAGATGGGACGGCTTCCGCCGCCACAGCCAACACGTGCACCCGTGACAGCACTGCGGACCACCGACGCATGATCAGCCGCAGTCGAATTGACTTTGGTCACTACCAAAGTGCCTAATCTCAGCCACACCGAGCAGAATTCGACGACTGGGTGTTAACACTTTGTCACCGAAACAACTCGGCTGAGCCACTTGACCCAGGCCTTTCTGATGACCTTCGTTGCTGACCAAGGCCGACATCATTGCTCCTTCCGACAAGCTCGAGCCACCACCGTCTCCTCGCTCTCGCCGAAGACACTCCCATCAAACAACTCTCATGAGGTTGACAGCCAAATAAACCCCCGAAACAGAAGACTGGGGGCCACGAGCTGAATGCACCTTCAAAGTTTCAACCGACCCAACAGGGCTCGCGTCAGCAGGGAGGACTCGTAGGCGATGCGCAGACGTGAGGGGGCAGCCTCATCCCGCATAGGCCACACGCCGTCCCGCTGGGGAAACCCAGCCAAACTCCAGACTCAATCGACCAAAAGCAGCCTCGGCTCTGACGCCATTCACCTCACTGCCCGCGAGCTGAGTCGGGGGAAACACCACCAAGGGCATCTCGTTTGCGCCGGGCGTCTCATCCGAGCCTGAGGGGCCTGGATGTTCCCGGCACGACACCACCAAACTGACTCTCCACAAGGAGCTGCGTTTGAGGGGAAAGGCTAAACGGTGGCGATGGAAAAATATCTACTGAAAAAAAAGTCGGGGGACGGAGAACATTGCAAGTCTCGTCATCGTCACCCTTCACCGACAATGGACCAACCACTCAGCAAGCACATGGCGATCGACAAGCCGACACAGGAAAAGTTCTTTGAGGTGCGGTCGCCCGCGAGCTTCGCGGCGCGGATGTGGTCGCGCAACTACAGCGGCGTGCCCGTCGTGCCGGATGGCGACGTGATCCTCGTCGTGGGGCTCGGCGAGGAGACGACAGAGCTGCGCGTAGACTCGCTGATACTGAAGCGGGCGTCGAGGGTGTTTGGCGCGATGCTGGGGCCGCGCTTCTCCGAAGGGCAGAAGCTGCTGGACCGGGGATCGGAACCCGTCAAGATCAGCCTCCCGGACGAAGACCCCGAGATCATGGAGCTGATCCTCAACATCCTGCACCACCAGAACTCGCGCGTGTGCCAGATCGCGGCGGCGGACTCGATCCTCGAGGTGGCGGTCGTCGCCGACAAGTACGACCTGATTGACGCGCTCAAGTACGCGTCGCAAACCATGCTGCACTACCACGAGCCGTCGATTGACCACTTGACCGTCGGCGACCTGTGGAGGCTAGGCCTGGCGGCGGGCCTGCTCAACGAGGCCAAATCATTTGAGAAGATCACCCGCATGCTTGTCTGGAACCACACGGTGCCGTACATACAATTGGTGGACGCGGAGGACGTGGTCGACATCGAGTTTGCGCTGCGGATGTGCTGTAAGTCGGGTGCTCTCCTAGGGGTGTTCGGACTAACGAGTGACAGATCTCCTTGAAAAGGAGAGACAGGACCTGAAGACGTCGTTGCTGATGCATCTCTTGCCCATCATCTCGACCGGGAATCAACTCCGGCTCGTCGAGATCAAGGTCGACTCGGTCGAGCACTTTGACGCGTGGCCGGAGCTGATGAAGTTGTTCGGGGCCAGTCTCAAGGAGACGACGAAATTCGCCGAAGGATTGGTCTTGGCGGACCGGAGCCGTCGCGCTGCCGGGCCCAGTTCGGACTTTATGAGGCACTTCAAGGCTCGCGGAGGCATACGCCTTGCGGACGCACGGCGAGGGCGAGACTGAGATTCGTGCATCGCGGACGGACGCCGTTCTAGAACATGTCGTCCTTTGATCGATCGTCATTTAGCTCCAGCGGGACCAATTGCATGGGTTAGGCAGGGTTACATTGAAATTCGAGTTTATTTTGGACGCCACAACAATTGACAGCCGAGGTTCGCCTTTGCTGATTTGCAGCCGCTCGGTCAAAGGCCGTGGGCCGTAAAAAACAAGACAGAAACAGTGCTGCCAAGTCTCGAGTTCCGAGGTTGAGTTGATAAGCAAAAGGTGGATCTGTGACGGCACGATCGAATGGGACTCTTGCATGGTCTTTCGAGACCCAGATTTCATGGGCTGACCAGTCCGGAAGAGGGATGCGGCGGTCCAGGCAATCAAGCAATTTTACAGATTTTCGCAAGAGCCGACGGCTCGGGAGCCAAGCAGGCCAGACATGCAGGGGCCCTCCCGGACGCCACAACTGCGTGCACTTTGTAGATTCGGTCCCGATGGGTACGGAGTAGTGGGCCGGCTCCGAATGCATTTGCGTTGTATGAAGGTGTCAAAGGCTAAATTAGAAAATGCTTGTGCAAGTCAACAGCGTCGATGTGTCCCTACGACTACTGTCGATGTCCGTACGACTATTGTCGATGGTCGCTCGGCCGATGCACTGAATATCCCGAATGGATTCGTTGGTTCGCAACCCTTATCACCGGGTGTCCAGATCTGGGAGGTCCGTACAGCGTAGCGCCAACAGACGATAAGCCCCTGGTTAGTAGTTTATCCGTCATGTCGTTTGCTGCACAGCTGCACCTGCATCGTATGTTGGTGGATGCCGTTCGGACGGCGTTGGTGGTCGACGATGATGAATCCCTTGCCATGAATCAGTCAAACATATTAAAAGGGTCGGCCTCCTCGCAGTATTCCGACTGCGAGTGCGTGCGCGTTCGTTTGGGGGTGAGACGAAGTTGAGCAAAGTCCGAAATGTCCTGTCTCAAGGCTTTGTAATGACAAAATAGGGGGACAGACTGATACCTAGTCGAAGGGCTCGAGGCCAGCGGTCTCGAAATCCGTTGGAGTTGGAAGGGCTGCACCTCGGCACGGTGGCCAGGTCCGCCGACATCCCGGCTGGTGGGTCCCCGTTAGCGAGCCGCCAGCCCATGAAATATCGTCTCTGGCACGTTGCCTCGGCGAACTAGGCCCGGTGTGGCCGTCCCTTGGTTTCGCTAAACCACGTCATTCCGCCGTGCATGCGGCGCAAGCGGGTACGTACCTGAAAGAGAAAAAAAAAATAACGGACGGAGGAAAGAAGAAAAGCTCTGCTCCGATCCAAGTACATGGAGATCCACTCTGCAGACCTCAGCTTGCGTTCGTCCATTCCCTGCACAACAAACCACCTGCCATCGCATATCTGACAAAGCCAAATCGTGCGGCTCCTGGCCCAATCCCGTCTTGTGACTCCTGTCAGATCCCGCGCCAAGTATTGCATCAGACTGCCTGCAAAGCGTTCGATCCTAGCCCGAGCCGGAGATAAGTGACCCTCCGCTGGTTCGTCCCCGTCCCCTACGACCGACTCCGTGCGGTTTAGTCATGGGAAATGGGCGTGCGGAAGACAAACCGCCCGGGTGGGCTTGCACCGGTGGATCATCACCACCCCCCCTGGCCGATGGAGATGGGTGTGTGTGTTGATACGGGCACCGACGAAGGGGATGGAAATCTCATTGGAAATCCCCACCCCAAGGCCAAGTCCGGCCTACGCAGTATATAGACGATGGGCCGTCCCAAGTCTCCGGGTTACGGATCAGATCTCTCGCTCATCCGACCTAGACTTCAGCGCCTATCGTAGCATCAACGACGATCGTCATCCAAGCACAGTCCAGCACTAGATAAGCTTAATAACCCACGAGGACAACCGAGCCGCCAGTCACCATGGCGTCGCCGCCGCACTCATCATCATCGTCCATCACGGCGACCGAGGCCGATGTCGAGGCCCAGAAGCCCGTGAACAAGGCCAACTACTTCCACCTCCTCTTCGACCAGGCCGGCGTGACAGAGGCCGTCCTCCAACGCAAATACCCCGGACAAGGCACCCACGAGGCCCCCTTTGTCGTCGACTTCCTCCCCGAGGATGCCCACAACCCCCAGACCTTCCCCAAGTGGAAGAAGTGGACTTACACCATCGAGCAGGCCATCGCCACCCTGGCCGTCGCCTTTGTGAGCACGGCCTTCTCTGGAGGCATCGCAGAGGTCATTCGCGACTTCAAGGTGTCGACCTTGATTGGTATCCTGGGCGTCTCCCTCTTTGTCCTTGGCTTCGCCGTCGGTCCCCTCATGTGGGCGCCCCTTTCTGAGCTGTACGGACGTCAGTACCTCTTCATCGCCACCTACATCGCCCTCACTGCCTTCAACGCCGGTGCCGCCGGTGCGCAAAACATTGAGACGCTCATCATCCTGCGCTTCTTCGCCGGCACCTTTGGCGCTTCGCCCATGACCAACGCCGGCGGTGTTATTGCCGACATGTTCAACGCCCAAGAGCGCGGCCTGGCCACGGCCATCTTTGCTGCCGCCCCTTTCCTCGGCCCGTCTATTGGTATGTTCCTCTGTCCGAGTCTGTGAGTCCCAGCTAACAAATCTAGGCCCCATTGTTGGTGGTTTCCTCGGCGTCGCGGAAGGCTGGCGCTGGATCGAGGGCCTCATGGCCATCTTCACCGGCGTCGTCCTCATCGTCGTCGCCCTGACCGTCCCCGAGACGTACGCGCCCGTCCTCCTCCGCCGCCGCGCCGACAAGCTCGCCAAGATCACGGGCAAGAACTACATTTCAAAGTACGAGGCCCACGCGCCCCGCAAGACCGCCGTCGAGCAGTTCAAGGTCGCCCTCTCCCGCCCCTGGATCCTCCTCTTCAGGGAGCCCATCGTCCTCTTGACCTCCATCTACATGGCCATCGTCTACGGCACCCTCTACATGCTCTTCGCCGCCTTCCCCATCGTCTTCCAGCGCGGCCGCGGCTGGTCCCCCGGCGTCGGCGGCCTGGCCCCTCGGTCGCGTCGCCGTCCGGCGTCTTCGTCGTCCACCGGCTTCCGGCCGCCGCCAGCTCGCCGCCGGCGGCTTCGCCCCGCCCGAGGCCCGTCTCCCGCCCGCCATGGTCGGAGCCTGCCTCCTCCCCATCGGCCTCTTCTGGTTCGCCTGGACCAACGGCCCCGAGGTCCACTGGGTCGTCTCCATCATCGCCTCGGGCTTCTTCGCCGCGGGTCTCGTCCTCGTCTTCCTCAGCCTGCTCAACTACCTCGTCGACTCGTACGTCATCTTCGCCGCCTCCGTCCTGGCCGCCAACTCGGTCATGCGGTCCCTCTTCGGCGCCGCCTTCCCCCTCTTCACCACGCAAATGTACGAGAACCTCGGCATCCACTGGGCCTCGTCCATCCCGGCCTTCCTCGCCCTCGCCTGCCTGCCGGTCCCCTTCCTCTTTTACAAGTTCGGCCCCGCCATCCGCGCAAAGTGCGCCTTCGCCGCCGAGGCCGCTGAGGTGCTGGAGCGCATGCGCAAGACGCACGAGGAGGTCAACGAGGACGACGCCATGGCCGAGGAGCAGGCGCACGAGAAGGAGCACAAGCGCAGCAAGTCCGTCTCCGCCAGCGACGGCGGTGTCCTGTCTGACGACGAGCGGACCGTCCAGGGCGAGCCTGAGACTCCCAAGGCTTAATCTGGACGACGCATAGACAACATTTCTTCACTACGTATCTGGAGATGGAAGCATGGATAGACAATGATACCCGGAGCGACACGTGTCACGGCATGATGTTAGCATTTACAAGGAGTTTTTTTAGGGCATTTTAGAGCATACTAGACAGGCCACAGGAGCCTACATTAGATACCAGATAGACCCCCCCTCATCTGTATAATCATAGAGTAATAGATCAACACTCAAAAGTCAATCGTCTTACAGTTCATCCCGCTCCCGCCCGCCAATCTTGATCTTGAGCCCCGGAATGTTCTTCACCTTGAGATTGTGCGAGCTCACGACCCTCACGTTACTCCTCACCGACCCAGCCTTGTCCTCGACGGCCTCCTGCCCCGGCGGCGTCCACGGCTTGACCCGTCCCTGCCACACGTCCAGCCCCCAGCCCTGCAGCTCGCGCGGCGTGAAAGCCCTGCCCTTGGGGTACGGATAGATCCTCCCGTTGGAGACCTGGTGGACCGCGCCGACGGGGTACGCGTCTTCGGCGACGTCGGGGCCGAGGCCGAGCTTGGCGGGGAGGTCGGGGAAGCGGTGCGGGTCGACGGTGACGGGCGTCAGGGAGGCGTACTGCTTCTTTGCAAAGTCGTGGAGGTCTGCGCGGATGGAGGCGCGGGTTTGCGCGGAGGGCGAGAAGATGTAGACGATTGGCCATGCGCGCTGTGTTTTGTCAGTTCTGTCTCATAGCTGCTTCTGCTGTGACAAGAGACGTACGTCGATGAATCGCTGGTGGTTCACGGGCGTCAGCTCCGCGATGACGGGCCTGGATACTTCCAGAACCCAGCCCTCGAGCCCGTCTGCCGCGCTCCGCGTGTGCGTGCTCTCGTCGTCGCGTTTGCGGCACACGACCTTGGCGTCTGTGGAGGTTGGCGTATCGACGATGCCAAAGGTGAACTCGGCCCAGTGCTTGTGCGCTACGGCCTCAAAAGCCCGACGGAGCGCCGTCTCATCTGGTCCGAGGTGAGCTACGCAGACAAAAGCGTCGCTGGTGTCAAAAGACTCGGCTTCCTCAGCTGAGACGCTAGAGACTTGAGGTCGCCGGGCGCGGTCAATGAAACGTAGGATTCTGGTTACAGACGTATCAGCTTTGCTGCGAGGGGGGCTGCAGACTCACTCGTCGCTCGTTATAGGGCCTAGGTAGTCTACCGCCGGCTCCCCGTCGCGCAGGAGCTTGACGGAGGGGTAGGCGGTCGCTGGCGCGTCTGCGCAGTGGTCCTCGGCGGCGTCCTTGATCCAGGCCATGGGGAGATTGGCTGAGGATTGCGCTGCTTCCCACTCTGCCGCTAGGTGCTTGGAGATCTCTGGAGACTGCCGTCAACCTTTTGGTCAGCAATATGACCGCACCCTATCGAGTTCATCCTACCGTGGCACCTACAACTGTCAGCGCATGTCTACTTTGTCCGTAAGATGTACTCACAGGCAATCAATCTCATCTCATTGCTGAGCGGGACCTGATCCTGCCCCGCCGCTCCAGGTACCAGCGGCACCAGGAGCATCCACAGAAAGCGATAGGAAACCATTTTCTCTTTCCTTGGTGGTTTTTGGAAGGATGGGAGGAAGAGATTGATGGAATAGAAATGGTGGGATGTCGTCGGTTACCCCTGTCTGATGGGCGGCAGGGATTGACTCCTGGACAAGGGCCAGGCTTGTTCAAGGTCACATTGCAGGGAACCACGACTTTACAGTACTTTTTCCATGATTACAAGCAAGCCTAGCCTCAGCTATGAAGAAAATCCCGATCCAAACGCCATTCCCAATAATTTACAATAATCAACGGTGACTCAACATTCCTGCCCTTGTTCCCTTTGTCGTTCGGCCTCTGCCGTATGCCGTGACAAAGCGGAAATAACGGTTGTTCGTAACAATGTGAAGGCGGTCTCCAAGTGTACCCCGGTGCACCTACGAGAGGACGTATTCGTTGGAAATCTCGGTAATGTGAAGCCAAATGCCCCGTAGCACAGACCAGAGTCTCCAGCCGTGCAATTCATGAGATCTGTCGTCAATGTCATCCCTGACGACAGCCATCCGGACGGATTCTTGGTTGAGAACAGCCTCAAAGGACCACTCTCCGCTTCCGAGTGGGAGTTTGGGGAACTTTATATGGCAAAATTGCTGCAGATAGGTGAGTATCTCCCAGGGCGACCGAGCTCTGATACCTTCGCGGTGGAGGAAGATGGTCATCCCCAGATCCGGGTCAACCATGTTCGCTGCCTCAAAAAGCTGACGGGCTAACGAGGTCCTAAGCTCTTGCATATCCGCTGGAACTTGGCATTAGCAAAAGCACAACGTACGTGTGGAAAATGGAAAGGCCTCACCGATCACTTTGTGCTCTTCACCGTGGAACAGGTGGTCCTCTTCCAAGAATTGAGTCTCGCGGAGGGGGTGGAAGGAGCCTGCTTGCCGCCAGACCAAGATGTTGAATGCAAGATGGCCAATGCTCTGGTTGTCACAGCACAGTGGTTGTGCTGCGAGGAGAATGTACCATAACTCTTGATTGTTCATGGCAGTGCTGGCATGCAGTAAAGAGTTCAGCTCTCTTCTGACTCTGTCCATGATCAAGTGCTGCCGGGCAAGGTAGCACAGAGCGAGGATATCTTGAAAGCTCCTCCGCGGACCATACGGCAGGAGCCCAGAATGCAGAATCGTCATGAGATCGCTTATAAACTCAGGTCGTGCGCGAATTTCCCAAACTCGCTGGTCGGGAGAATCTTTGAATTCCTGTGCCCAGCGAACCGACGCATCGGAGAGCGTCTTCATGCGGACCTGGAATACCTGGGTCTTCAATGGAGACCGCCCAGTGACCTTGAGAAGAGCGTAGCCATCCGGCACCGCATTCATATCCAAAGCTTCATCAGGAGACAGCTTGAACTTCACAGCTCTCGAAAGATTGTCGGTCCCGCTAAACTTCAGAAGTTTGATAGACGGAAGACCAGAAGGCTCGGGCAGGCGTATGGATGGCAGCGGGGGGGCCTTCCAATCGTCGAATGTTATTTTGCTGGACGCAAATGTGTCCTTGTGTGGCTGTGAGCCCACGATAGGATTGCTGAAGACGTTAGCTTGTTGCGTCCAGACTTTTTTGAGTCGTACTTACTTGGCAATCTGGTTTTTAGGAGCCATGGCAGCGAGGAGCAAGCGCTCAGGCTGTAGGAAAGACACAAGCTGGGAAGGCGGGATTGTTCCCAGGTCGCCGATGTGCAATGGATAATGGGAAGTTTGATGGTCGAGCAAAGGCCCAGGTCGTCGAGGTAAGAGGATGGGAAGGCAGATCCAGGGAAGCTTGAGCGCGCGACGGGATAAGTCGAGCGAGGTACCAAAGTAGAGCGAGGTGGAGGGTAGAAGTTGGAAAGGGCTGGACGAGGCAGCAGACCGAAAGGGAAGAGCAGAGGGCAATTTTTCCGAGGCTGAGAGAAACAAAAGGCACGCAAGTTGGAGAGACCGAGCAGGAAAGGAAGGCTCGAGGCAAAAGTGTGGCCGGGAAGGGCTGAGGACCCGCTTTCCTGGCGGTAGATGTTGTTTCTCGAGGAGGAAGGAGCAGGTCAAAGCAAACACGGGGTGGCAGGTACGGAAGGGAGCCACAGTAGACTGACAAACTATTCTATTACAAGCACCAGCTTTCTTCCATAGAACTGATCTAGTCAAACCCGTTCCACTCATCCTCGCCGCTGTCTCCATCGCTTGCGTCCTCGCTCTCCTCTTCACTTGCATTCTCCTCCTCGGGCGCGCTCACATTCGCCGTCTCCAGCACCACAGGCTTTCCTGTGCTCTTGAGTACCGGCATCCCAGCCATATCTCTCACGATCCGTCCTTCGTCGTCTCTCAAGTACGGGCCATCTCCGTCGACCGGCTCCTCTCTCGCAAACGCGGCAACAAAGAATCCCATCACGCCGTGACCGTCGCCCTTGTACGTACGAATACACGCTTCCGCTACAGTCTCATCACCTCCAGCCGCCTCGGGAAGTCCACGGACGGGCCACTCTCGCATACCGCGGACCTGCTTCTGCCTCGGTAGAATCGTCCAGCCACGCTCTTTCGCAACCTTTGACGCGAGGGCCTTGATCACGACGCCCTCGTTCTCCTCTGCGTGTATCGAGCAGGTGGAATAGGTAATCTTCTTGGCAGCGGGAAACGTCATGGCGTGAAGCAGAAGCGTCAATTGGAAGCCGGCTAACGCGTCCAGACGCTTTTGCAGCTCCTGCTCCGACTGTACCTCGACCGTGTTGCCGTCATCATCGACCATCACCGCACCGGGCTCCTCCTTTTCGTCTCGCTTGCGCTTGCGGTCGTCCTGTTTGGACGGCTTTCCCTTTGCGTTCTTGGATCCAGGCGGGCCAGGGACCTCCGGGAGATGCAGTTCTGGCATCGAATCACGTCCCACGATACCGCTGCCAGAGCAGCTGGGGTCCAGCAGCAGGGCCCCGACGTCTTTGTATGTGTCAGATGTGGGATCGACATCTAAAAAGTCCTGGCCAGGACCGATCTTGGTCATGCCTCGACTGCCAGCAATTCTGACCATCTTCTCTAGCGTCTGGGCTCTCTTGGAGTCCCTTTCGAACGCAAAGATGGTCTGTTTTTGGGCACCCTGCTCGGGTTCGTGCGACTTGACAATCGCTGCGAGGTGCGTTGTCTTGTTCCCCGGCGCCGCACAAGAATCGATAACGTCGCCGTCTTCCGAGTGCGGGTCCAGAAGATATGCCGGAAAGCAGGATGCCTTGTCCTGAAGAATGATCTCGCCCTTGAGGTAGGCCTGCGTCTTGGTCACATCCGTGCCAGGCGATGCCGCGAGGAGGAAGGGGATGTGAGTGTCGATAAAGATGGCCTTGCCCGTTGCCTGCGTCACGGCCTCGATGGAAAGCGCTCTCTCGTACCCCTTGAAAGTGGTCTCAAGCTGGTCCTCCACAGTACTCTTGAGCACGTTCACCCTGATCCATCGAGGGTGTCTTCCTTCAGGGTCCGCGTTGGCGTTGACGTCGGCCTGCAGCAGTTCCAACGACGACATCTTCCTCCTCAAACGGGCGCGCGTGAGCTCAGAGGTCAGTCTCGCCTTGTGCCGCTCAATGGTTGTCCTGAGACCGTGAGACTGGGGCAGCGCGATACCCTTCTTGGCCAGGAGAAAGTCGTGTACCAGCAGTAGCGCCAGCAAAGGTGTGAGCTGCATCGTCAGCGCCAGTCAACGACTTGACGATACAGTAGACTCACCTTGCGCTCATGGCGCAGAATGTCCGCCGCCTCGATGACCTCCTTCAAGATGGCACTCCACTTGCACGTCTCCAGTGCGAGGGCGTAGACCTGCGCTGGCGGCGACTTGAGACCCTTTTTGCCAAAGACGCGGCTCTTTAAGCTGCCGCCGTGGTCGGAGCTCGCCGAGAGAATATCGGCAGCCTCGTGATACAGCGACATTTTGCCGGCTGTCCGTATGTACTGACGTTGGTCACCGCAGCCGTGTCTCGGTGTGCGGCTGTGGGGTATCGGCGGATGAGGTGAAGAGAAATTTCTACAGTGGGCACCGCTGGCTCGGAGAATTTGTGGGGACCGGCCGCAGTGGACGGACGGGTTGATTGCTTGGCCAATTGAGACCGTCACACACGCACTTGTCTCGATGTGTCCCTTGCTTCGCTGAGAAATGGTCACTGCGACTTGTTAAATTAACTTTTGAGTCGGCATCTGGATCATGGGTTTGGCAATGCAGTTGAATGAGGTGGATTTGTTTCGCGTGGACAAAATAACCTTAATTCGACGTCTAGGCGCCAGTTTGGTGGGCCTTACACACACGGCTTACTTGTCAGTGGTGGTAATATGGTTGGCTCAATTGTCTATCTGACCACCAAATAGCCACTTGTCAAAACCCCTTCCCAAATGCGGTGCCTCGTCTGTAGAGACCCGTGTAAGAATCGAAATGTATGTGTTCCAAGGTACAAACAAGAAGCGGAATCCAGTTGCCCTTGAGCTTGCTCGTGTTCCCCAAGCTTTGCTTTCCCACGGTTCAAAGGTGTGTATGTAACTGATCATCATCATCGTCAAAAAAAGAAATCTGCGCGAATGCTCGCGCACAGAAATGGGGATGCTTTTCCAAACAAGCCCGCCGAGTCCCAGTGTCCAAAAAACAACGTCTCAAACTCCCATCCCAGCCACTGCCCTAGAATGTCTAACGAAGAAAAGTTTGATACAAGCGCAACCAAAAAGGCTGGCGGCGCGCATAGGTTCGATGGACAAGTCGCTTACTTGCGGTTGCTGCGGTGGCGGTGGAGGTGCTCGTGCTCGTGGACGTGGCGGCGGGCCTTGTAGTTGTCGGTAGAGCCGGCGGGGGTCGCGGCGGCCTTGGACTCCTCTGCGGGAGAGGTGACGGTGACGGTCTTGTAGACGGTCCTGGTCTTGCGGGAGCACCCAGATGCCGAGGGCTTGGGCGCGACTGCGTTGGTGGTAGGGACGGCGGCGGCGGCAGACGTCTCGGCAGCCTTGGTGCTGGCCTTCTCGGGGGCGACCTGAATGGGGAGCTCGGAAGAAACCACGGCGGATGTCTTGGGGACATCCTCCTGGCTGACGTAGCCAGAGGTCGCGGACTTGCTGGCAGAAGGCTGGACGGCAGAGGGCTTTGCAGAAGCAGCCGTCGCCGCAGACGAGGCAGAGGAACCGGAAGGGCTGGCAACAGAGCCACTGCCGCTACCGCTACCGCTGCCGCTGCTGCTGCCACCGCCGACGACAGCACCGAAGGAGGTGAGAAGGTTGTTGCCGGGAAGCTTGCTCATGAGACCATCGACAACTTCGTCAACGGGAGAGGAGATTGTGCAGTCCTTGTTGGTGTTGAGGCCCTTGAGGAGACCAGGGCACTTGTCCATACCAGAAGAGCCGGCGTTGCAGTTGTCAATGATTTGCTGGAGAACAGTCTCATCCCAGGCAGCGATGAAGTCAGCGTGGAGACTGTAACCAGTGGCATCACCGTTGGAGAGGACAAAGGGCTGCGAGCCCTGGCCGGGCGTCCAGCGGCTGGCAAACTTGGGAGTGTCCCAGTAGACCTCAAAGAACATGTGAGGAACGTGGATCCATCCGGCAGGGCAGTTCTTGCGGCGGCTGTTCGACGCGCCCTTGTTGGAGGGCCAGGCCATGCTCTCGTAGTCGGTCAGGGCAGCCTTTGGGTTGTAGCAGGAAGGCATGTGGACATCGGCACGGAGGGGAGAAGCGTAGCCGTCGCAGTTCTGGTCGGGGAAGCCGACTCCGGAGCCGTCATTGTTGGGATCGACGATGCCGGCGGTGGTGCCGTCAGAGTTGGCAGGGTACGATGGCGGGTTGTAGTTGGATCTGGGGCAAGTCCACTGAACAGGCTGGATGGGGCCGTCCGCCGGCTCGAGGTTCTCCTTGCCTCCAGACGACGGGGCAACGCGAGCGGAGGAGTTACCGCTAAAGATCTGCAGGCCCTTGGGGAAGGCCTTGATCTCATCATCGGTACCATCGAAGCTGGGCGGTGTTAGTAGAGGATCCAGTCCAGGAGAGAGCCATACTCACAAGTAGTAGACGTTGACGTAGAAAACATCGACAGCCTCAAACTCCTTGGTCTTGGGGTCCTGGAAGTAAAGAGACGGGAACCAGTAGGCGCTGTTGTCGCCGTTGATCATGGCGTTGGTGCACTTGGACTGCGACAGAGTCTCGCCAGTGGCCGACATGCCAAAGTTGCTTCCTCCCATGACGCCGTGGACGTGGGTCGCGGGCTTTCCGGGGTTGATGATGGGATCAACACGGGTCTTGACGAGCTGCTTGTTGTTGAAGCGGAGGACGGCAAAGGTTCTGTCATCGGACTTGGAGCCGGCCGAGGCGGCGCCCAGAAGGGCAGCCAAAGTAGTGGCAGCGGAGAACTTCATGGTGATTGATTGTACGGTTGGGTGATTGTGCGGTATGAGACGGGTATCAAAGTGGTCGCTGGGACTCTTGCTGGTTGAGTAGGGACTGTATGGGTGCTGATACCGGAGCACCTGGTGAACTGAAGGGTGTATATCGCGACTCGGTGAGTGACGAAAGTGGTGAGTGAGTGGAATGAGACAGATCAAAGAGGGCTGTCTGAAGGTTGTAAAGAGAGGACGTGCTCAGCAAGCTGTAGCGTTTGGTGGGTTGAAAAGGAATGATGAAAGGAGAGACTAAAATGCCCAGCAAGTGTCGACAGGGAAAGGTGGTGGAATGGAGAAGGTGAGGTCGGGGTGTAGATCCACGGTGGAGGATGGAAGAAGTGGGAAGTAATATATTCATCGGACGGCAGCTGGGAGCCAGACCCAGGCGGGACGGGGGGCACACCGTGAGTGGCAGTTGGCAGGCTACGGCGAGGTACCTTGGATCTGGGAAGGGGGCCCGGGTGGTAGGAAGGCGCTAGCAGGGTGGCCAGGGACGCTCAGCCGTGACGCCATGGAGTATTCGTGGTAGTGCCATCTGGCGATGAAGTACTCGAGCACAGGGCGATAGCAGTATCCGTACATAAGGTAGGTTAAGCGTGTTGGGGAGGGTTGCACCTCGACAACGTGGCAGACAGAATCAAGATGAAAGTACTCAGTGTTAAGATGTGTGCCCAAGCCAGGTACTCGAGAGATGGGATGAACAGGGACATGCTTGCTGGTCACCTTCTGACTGCTATTTTCGAGTACATGTTCAACACAACCAAGGAATTGTCCGCATTTTTTCTAGAGGGAAAAAGAACTGGCAAACGAGAGCCTAGACGGACCGCCCAGAGTACCTTACTCCGTAGAGTACCACTACAAAAGCTGAGAAGAAACGAAACGGCGGCAAGCTGACGACCCCTTGGACCCCCGCTCATCTGATGTCTGCACTCACGCACTGGATAGGAGACGGGAGTGCACAAAAGTTGAGATGGTGTGCTGCACGGCTGGTTCCTGCATGGTGCATAAGCGTGGCCGACTTCCCATTGGCTGGATGTCATGTCCAACTGCCAAAATTGTGCAGGCCCGAGGTCAATTGTCGCTCAGTGTGACGCCGGAGCTGTTCTTAGCACGAAAAAAGGCACGCTGACTCGCCCCTGGTTTCTGGGCTTCTTCTCTCGCTAGCGTTTGTGCCGCGCGACGTGGCGTCCAGTCAGCTTTCACCGAGACCACACCACGGAAGAGAATACCCAACTGCCCAGCCGGCCTCTTGGGCAAAGGGCTTCAAGTGCCCGTTTGTGGCGCTGCAAAAGTTTGATTTGGCGGATCAGAGGCGTCCGCCCGTTTGGAAACACATAGCTGCCAGCACCACCAGGCTCCAGCGACTATCGACGCTCAGGGCTTGGTGGCGGTTGGTACACGGGTCGATGCTATATTTCAGGGGCAAAGGGCGTCCATGACGTCTAGGCAGCCTGTCAAGTGTCTGCCTCTTGCAAGCTCTTGGTCCGTCCCGCATGTCGTGAGGTGTTGATGACGGTGCACATAGGTACCATGGGCTCGAATAAGCAATGCGCGCTGCCGATGATTCGGGAATGCTGCCAGAGGACACAAGAAACAGATATCAGCAGCGCCTTCCACAAAACATCGCAACGTCCCGTCTGTCGTTGCAACTTGCTGCCTCGATGTCTTTGGGAAGGGACAACAGAAGGTTGCGGTTTACCTTCTTTCCCGCTAACCCTATCCGGGCAAGCGGGACCCAGATGTTTATCCCACTTGCGCAGGGGCTCGCCCTTTCCAAATTGCAGGGTTTGAGACTTTTCCCAAGAAGCAACGGGCAGGAAGTTGGAGACGGACGAGATAGGAAACCGCATCTGAGTCGGCACTTGACACCTTTTTCGAAAGGCTGGAAAGAGTGAACACAGTTCCAACCGCATCGAGCGTCAGCAACATCACCTGCGAGACATCAAACCTGTCATTCGGAATCTCGGGGTCATTCTCCCAACTGGATCACCCTTCGAACAATCCCTTTCTTGCCTCCCGACGGAATGGCCATGTCTCTGCCCTGCCTTGACTCTGGCTTCCTTGGTCTTGGCCGGGCAAAAGAGTTTTCTAGCTGCATAACTTATGCATCCAACTTTGTCGTTCCACACCTCCATCCCTCGCAAAACGTCTGTTCTGGTCGCGCGACGCTCGATTGGGGCACAATTCCCAGACTCAAACCACTGAACAATGCCATTCATCCTTCAGCGAGAATGAAGCCGATCTAATAGTCGCTCACCATTCCAATCCCTCGGTGCCATCCGGCCTAAGAAAGTTGTGTCACAATCGGCCCTAGCAAAGTCCAGAACTCTGTCTATACCTCCAGAGGCTGGGATCGGCCATGACAGATCACAGGCCTGCCCACGAGCTCTGGACTCTATACTCTGGACTCCTGGAGGAGTCGACTGGGTCGGCGGCTGGTGGGGTTTCGAAACGCCTGATCCTGGTGCCCATCCCATGTTAACCCGTGTGTTCGAGAAAACAATCACGGACTGCCCGGCAAATCATGTCCTCCCGAGTCGGCGGCGCTCCTGCGGGGAGATTGGCTGCTGCCTCCGGCTGCAACCTGGCATCAGTCCCCGGCCATCGCACCGGCACTCAAATGCGACGAATTTTTCGCATGGCTGGAGTCGACGAGCGCTAGAATAATGCCACAATTCATGTTGCCGGCAACCTGCTTGAGGGCTGTTCCGATTTGCAGTATACACCACCACCACTTTGCGCGTTGCATCTATGGTCACCCGAGAACACACATGACACCTTACTGGTGGTTCTTGGAGGGGCTGGGAACAGCGTGATGCATCTCCGACCGGGCGAGAATCCAGCTGTAGCTGTTTGGCTTCAAGAGGCTTCACCGGAATGACGAAACATTGCCGTTCCGAGGGCTTTTCTTGTGCGCACTCGTGGGATAATTCCACACAAAGATTCCTCTTTTGGTATTCTGTCTTGAATTGCAACAGTCTCACTTCGACACGCGCCAGGCTGTCTTCAGCCAGCCCCGGAAACAGTTGGATCAGAGACCGACTCAGTTTTCTTCGAGCAATATGGCCGATGCATCTTGGAATAACAACGGCCTTGTCTGGGCAAGGACTCACCGACAAATCCACCGTCGTCAACACCGCCTCTCTTCATCTCTATATTGAACGATGTCCGCTTCCTACCAAGTTGACCACCCTAGGTTCACAACGTTTGCATGGGGTGGCACCGCGCCACGGTGGCTCTCGTCGGGGTCTCAAAGTGCCAAGAGGTGGAAAACCAGGTTACGAGTAAGTCCCAAGGAAACAGGCGAGATGACTGACGGTCGCGCCTGGCGATACGAATTATCTTGACATAATAGCCCATACTACTCCATACGGCAGAGGGCTCTCTCCCTTTGCGCCCTGGGAGTCCCCCTGAGCCGCCGTTTGGCGGGAAATCGGCTGGCGCGCGCTTCCAAAACGCCCGGTCCCCAATGGCGGTCCGCTCAATTAGACAATCGGCAAACGTGAGCCAGAAGCCGCTACTGGGCAAATTGAGGATGAAACAAATTGTCTCTCGACGCCGTGGCTAGAAAGAAATCAAGGCAGCGAGGCCATCACTGGCATCTCTGCGCGCGCCATCAACACGGACATGCTTAGCGAGCTTATCTATTGTGCGTTCTAGTTGCAACTTGCAACGCACCTCTCGGCGGCCGGCAGTTTGTCATGCACTCTGAGCTTTCTTATTCCTATTGGAAGTTGCGATGGTCCTTGCTAGCCAAAGTGTCAGTCTGTCCCCGTCTGCACCGCAGGGACGGATCGACGGCGCCGCACCATCCCGAGCCGAACCAAGGCCAGACGGTGTCATCTCATCTCTGGCAACGTGTCGCCTCTCCATCAAGCTCTCAGGCAAGCACAGCCGGAAAGATCAACGTGGCTTGCTGCTCCCCGGGACGATGACGGAATTACACCCGTCCCGTGTCCAAGCCTCTGGTGAGGGATTTCTCTCAAATCGCCATCCGAGGCCGACGCCCCTTTGTGAAATCAATCTGCTCCCGTCCCTGCGTGTGCGGCCTCACTAGCACGTCACCATGAATCGCCTAGCTCCATTGTTTACCTCCCTTGGCAATCCCTTCCCCCCGGGCGCATCTTGCGAATAAGCTTGTGCGTGCGCGCCTGTTTGGCCATGTGCCGCGTTCCCGGCCTCCGATGATAAGGGCTTGCGTCGGGGCTAGGGCTGACAGTCACGGTCCCGCGGGGATGACTAGCATCGACGGGTAGTTGCGTACAGCCTTGGAGGGGCCCGCGCAAGTATCAGTGTTGCCCAATGTCGCGGGAAAGGTTATCCCGACGCAAGACTTTATCCGTCTGGTGATTGCAGGTTGAAGTCTTGGGTTGTTGTGTCCCTCCAGAGTGTCTTGGTCCGGGAACGAATCGCTTTGCAGAGACGACTCTGTCATATTCTGGCCCGTGACACTGTGGCTTTGGTCTCCGGATAGTCGTGTCTATGGTGACAGACTCTGGATGTGCCGCGTAGTATACATCTGACAACTTCACGTGTTACACGCCGAGCTATGTGGCGTGGCCCTTTGCATAGCTTGTATATGCGTGACGCTGCCCCTCACACAACGGCCCAGTAAGCTGTGAATATACTTTGTTGTACACTATCTAGATATACATTTCGTCCTGAAGCGCAGCGTGTAGAAAGAAACATGCGCAAATATCAGCTGCATACTTTGTGCAGTCATATGAGCACCCAACTCGAGACAGATTCAACGAGGAATCCAACCCGAGCCTCCACCGGGACGACGCCTCTCTACTCATCGGCAGACGGCATCGTCATACCCCTCTCTACCGGTCATCCTCGTGCGGCCAGCAAGCAGCAACCTCGAGGTCGCCATTCTGGTCCACCTCGAAGCTGAGGGCGACGGTGCCGCCAAACTCGAGCGGGCTGCCCTCCCACACCACAATGTCGCTGCTCCTGGGCAGGCCGAGAATGTC